ACTCTTTCAAAGAAGACAGAACATCCCAGGTTCATATATCATGTGATGATCTTCATTGCTTGAGTTGAATCTTTTGTTTGAGTTTCTGATTCATGATGAAAGGTTACTGCTTCTGCGCGTTTTAGGTAACTATGGAAAGGAGGCAGTTAGAGGATACGGTTTCATCTCGAGAAAACGAGAAATTTGAGCAGCGAATGCTCAACTCGATCTGTTTATGGAACATGTAAAGTCTCCCCCTTTCTTCTACCCATTTGAGTATCCATTGGACCGATGCAGCTATATGTGAAACTCGTGTTTCTCTCTTACAGGTTACTAGGCTCGGTAACAGCTGAAAAGCAAACGTCTTCAGTGGTATCGCCCTTGGAAGACGCTGAACCTTATGATGTGGTTGCAATGGCTAAGGAAGCTTTATCAGCGTCAAAACGGGCTGCAGTTTTGGCTGAAGACTCCAAACTATACCCATCTGATACCGGGAATCCTCTCTCTACAAGGTTACTTATTTAGTTTGTCTTGTACTTTACTGTCTATCTCGTTATTCTGCTTTGTAAGGCTATCTTTTGAGATAAGTTACCGATCATTTTTTGTGCGTTTCCTTTAGCTCGGGTGAGTCTTTACTTGAAGAGAGAACCATAGTGAGATCAAAACGTCTCCTACAAAGGCGGGCAAAGAACAGGAAGGCTCCCAAATCAAACGCTTTGGAGAACGAGGGTTATGTATCGCAGCAAGTTAACGTTAAGAAGAAACTAAAACAAGGGCTCGATCCGGATGATCCCCTCCAGCTCTTCTTGTGGGGTCCTGAGACGAAACAGCTTCTGTCTGCGAAAGAAGAATCGGAGCTAGTAGGACAGATACAGGTCTTTCACTTCCTGATTCCTGTTCTTGTGCAGGCAAAAAAATTTTTAGAGAAAACTTTTTAGGTTAAGAGAAGTTTTGATGTAACAGGATTTGATAAGATTGGAGAAGGTAAAGAGAAAGCTCCAATCCGAATATGGTCGGGAACCGACAATAGGTGAATGGGGCGAAGCCTTGGGATTAAGTTGCCAAGCCTTGAAGTCTGAACTTCACCGTGGCAGAAGCAGCCGAGAGAAGCTGATTACTGCAAACCTACGTTTGGTCGTTCATATCGCTAAACAATATCAGGGACGTGGGCTCAATCTTCAAGACATGTTGCAGGTTAGGCTTTAAAAAAATCCTTACTTTTACCCTCGAATATAACTCGTATGTCGCAAAAAAAAGAGATCTAGATCCATTGGCTTTTGACCCAAGGCCTACAACATTTTGTATAAACAAAGAAAAAAACGTTCCTTTGCGTTCATATCTAATGATTCTAGGAGGGAAGCATGGGCCTAATGAAGAGTGTGGAGAAGTTCAAGCCACAATCCGGCTGCAGATTTGCTACATACGCCTACTGGTGGATACGACAGAGCATACGAAAGGCTATATTTCAGAAATCGAGGACAATCCGGTTACCGGTAACCCGAGCTCATTGAATAGAATATCAAATTTACACTAATGGGTTATATAGCTTTAGAGCTTTATCAAGATGCTTTTGATATAATATATATTCTGTTTATACAGGAGAATGTGTATGCACTTCTGGGCAAGGTAACAGAAGCCAAAAGAACGTTGGTCAACGAGGGAAATCATCGCCCGGGTAAGGAAGAACTGGCGAGACGGGTTGGGGTTTCAAAGGAAAAGCTGGAGAAACTGATGTACAATACAAGAACGCCTCTTTCTATACAACAGCCTGTTTGGGCTGATCAAGATACCACCCTTCAGGTTCTCGTTTTTCTTTCGACCCGATTTTTTTTTCTCCTTATCGACCAAGAAAAAAGACAAGAAAATTTTTCGGAACCGCTACATTATAGCTCCCTCGGTTTCATGTGATAAAATTGTGAAACTAAACCTGGAATTTTTAGCACATATGACTTTGTTTCATAACCTCAAAGTATTGAATCTTTTTTGTTCTTGAAATTTCATGCTCCTGATAGGAGAGCCTTTGCATTATGAATAGAGTACCACAGAGTTGATCAAGAAAATTGTATTCCGGTTCGTAAAAGTTTAGATTTATCTTTTTCACGATAGGCTTTGAGCATTTCCGTGTCAAAGAACGACGAAACTGCGGTAAAAAAACGGATTCTTTATGGCGATTATGTGCAGGAAATCACGGCAGACACGGCGGTTGAGACACCGGACATGATTGTAGGAAAGCAGCTGATGAGGAACCATGTCCGGAACCTTCTGAGCGTTCTGAGCCCAAAGGAGAGAAGCATAATCAAGTTAAGGTTCGGGATCGATGGCGGGAAACCGAGATCTTTGTCAGAGATCGGAGCTATTTACGGGCTCTCGAAAGAGAGGGTAAGGCAGTTGGAGAGCAGGGCACTATACAGACTGAAGCAGAATCTCACTAGCCATGGACTCAATGCTTATGCTGAATTTCTTGTGTAGCTTCTGCAGTAGCATCTATCACTCGGCTTCTATACATATATATATATATATATGTATGCATGTATATGCATAGCTTACAAGGGTTTTGTCTGCATTCTGAAAGAATATTGTTACTCTCATTGGATTTAAGCTTTTTGCCGAAACTTCATGTTGAAATATGATGAAAAATAATTTATATATTTCTTATGAAAAAAAAACTTTTATCTGAAATTTTAGTAAAATTCCGTACGTAGGTAAATGAGTCTAACATTATCATCATAATCATCGTCATCATCATAATAATAATAATAATAATAATAATAATAATAATAATAATAATAATAATAATAATAATAATAATAATAATAATAATAATAATAATAATAATAATAATAATAATAATAATAATAATAATAATAATAATAATAACAAAGAAGAAGAAGAAGAAGGTGTTTTCAAATTTTGCCATGAGACAATATTTTTAAAAAAATAAATATGAATTAATGACAAATTGAAGTATCTTCCATCATTATTAAAAATGAAATTGTGTTTTGAATCAGAAATATAGTTATATAATAATAAAATACTTTGGAAAATATTTTAAAAACAAAATTTAATTATCATTTATAACAATTAGAAATTATGAGTTGATTGATATTGAATTTTAGTGTTTACTGAAAATATTACTTTCTCGAGATTTTAGTTTTATAAAATATGTTTACAGGTTATGTAAAAACTAAATAAATTATCCAATAAAATTATTATCATCATCATTATTATTACTAAACAAAATAAAAAAAAAAACTAAATTATGAAAGATAAAAAAAAATAATAAAACAATTTGGATAGGAAAATTCCGTACGAACCTAAAATAAGACTAGCAACAAGGAAGACATCATTTAACCGAGGTGGGTCCGGTCTACGGAGACCATTAACATTTCAGGTGCATATCAATAAACACAATAATAAAAGAGTCATTTAATTTATTTTAATTTACTTAATTATAAAAACATTGGTCCATGCTGTCTCATATATGACAGCTGGTCTAATCCCAAAAACGAAAAACATTCAAATAAATATCGATGTATGTATATGTCTGTGTTTGTTCATTTAAATAATCTAGACATCCTTATAATATTATAAATATCATATTTAACAATATTTTGGCTCTCGTTTTTTTGGGGAATTTGGTAGGATAGAGGAATGTTTATTGGTGGAAATTATATGTTCGATATGTTTTGGAGGTAAATTTAAATTATTTGTTTTATATGTTTTAGAGAAGATATTGTTTTTCTTCTAAAAATATGAAAATTTTAAATACACATTGGTATCAATAATTAAAATCAGTTATTAAAAAATAAAAATAACTTTTTGAATATCCAAAAAATATTTATTTAAAATGTCAGTTATCTATGACAGGTGGTTACAATGGACAAATTAATAATTGTAATAGTTTTTAGATAATTTGCATACAGAGATTTATCTATTCGTCAAACAATTATCGAAGTATTTACGAAATATGTCTAATGATTACAAAGAGTGTTTCGTTTCTTTAAAATGAAATACTTACTGAATAATGATAATGGCAACATTCTGTTATCTCAAATCAAAAAGAAATGCCGCAAGAGGGAAAAAAAGCAAAAGACCCTCTAGGCGAATCAGCGGCTCCCCTCGCTGCATATAATTAAAGCTCTTCATCTATCCCTTGCTGTATGTATACAAAAGCTCAAACCAAACCCAAATCCTCTCTCTCTCTCTCTCTCTCTCTCTCTCTCTCTCTCTCTCTCTCTCTCTCACCAAAAATAAAATCTGTGAACTTCTTTTTTTTTTGGGTGGAAACAGAGAAAATAAGATGGCGGAGAGATCAGAGAATAACAGCAGCAATGGCGGCGCGTGCGGCGCGTGCAAGACTACATTCGGACAGAAGTGCAAACACATGGTGAAGAAACAGAGAGCCAGATTCTATATTGTTCGTCGTTGTATCGCCATGTTGGTCTGTTGGCGAGACCGTGGTGATTCTTGATTCTTGATTTTTATTTTTATTTTTTTATTTCTATTTTTATTCTAGGTAAATCCATATAATATATATATATACAGTAATGTGAGAATGTGCATATAGAGATATTGTTATTTCGTGCTCATGGTGGATCACTCTTGACATTTTTATAATAATAATCAATGCCCATTTTTCATCTTGCTTATGGTCTTGAAAATGTGTTGTTTCTTGTGCTCTTTATTTGTGTTTTTTTTTTCAGCAAGACCAAAACAAATAATATCTTCACTAAAAAAAAGGATAACCACATTATTATTTTTTATTTGATTTTATAAATTTATCCGTCGCATATGTTAGGGTACGGTAATCCGGTTCCATGGTTTAATACTGTCCGGTTTGAAGATTTGTATCGGTTATCATCGGTTTTGCTTTCCATGAGCTCATATGCGTTTCTTCTATTGTTTTCTCAGATTATAATTAGTACTCAATACATATTAGTTTTTTTTTTGGTTTTGGATGATACACATAAAATTTGTTCCAATCTTTTTGCCATTGTTTTTAGATTTAATAACACGTGAAATGGTTATATCAAATATAAAAACTCAAGAAAATGATATAATTCATAGTGCAAGTTTTAAAGCAACCAATCAAATGAGTTTTTACAGGCTGATTATATTTAGTATTTTTTTTTACGCATTATAGTATTTTCTGCTTCTAAACGGAAATTTCAGTTTGGAGTTTTGAAATTTTACCAAACCGAGGAAGAAAATCATAATAAATTAAGGAATTGAAAAAAAATGGGCAGATAATTGTGACAAAGTCGAGTTGTTATTCGAGTTTATTTATGGGTTTGGTAAAAAAAAAAAAAAAGAGGTTAAGTAATTCTATAGAAGGTAACTCCAGATTCTTCTTTTGCATAAATTTCTGTAAACATCAAAAACTTATCATTTGCCACAGACTCTGCAAGTGGTTCTGTCCTTTTTCACCTTTTTTTTCTACTTCTGTATATATATCTACAAGGGTAACTTTTCCTTATGTACAATAGTTAAATTAAATATATATATATATATATAAAATTTTTAACAACTATTGTACATAAGGAAAAGTTACCCTAGTATACTTTAACCACAGAAAAAAGCTACCCTTGTATAAATACAGAAGTAAAAAAAAAAGGTGAAAAAGATGTAACCGGCCGGTTTAGTTTGTATTATATAATGTAACTAGAAAAAAAGGTGAAAAATTATATATATATATATAACAATGACAGATGTGTGTTTTGGTTTGGTGACTTTGTATGACATGTAATACAATCGTTTAGACTAGTTAATAGATGTAAGACATCTTATTTACAAACAAAAATTCTAATAAATATTGAATTAGATTATAAAGATTCTATTTTAACAAAAAAAATGGATTTCAAAGATTCTATAATAGTTCAAACTTATTATATATATATATATATATATATATATATATATACAGAAATTTTAAGAAACGTGAAGAGATTTTCGAACACCGACCAAGGCTAATAATGTCTGAATCCTGAGTAGTTTGGTCAAACACAATGTGTTGACTTATCGTTGACTTGAAACAGTAGAATAATGGTATCACTTCCAAGAACTCAAATTCCCAAACCAAATTAGATTTTTTTTTTAAATCATAGACATCATTTTTTATAGTTAATTTTGAAGTTCAATTTCTAATCTATTAGACAGTATAAAACTGGTTTAATTTTTATTATAGTTTGATCTATACATACATTCATATAATTTTTATTTCGTCAATAGAAAAATTCATCCAAATTCAATTTAAAATATCTGAAATTAAATATAATTAAATGGGCTGAATATTCTTGTCCATCTTAAATTTAATTAGGTGATTAATTAACCATCATGCTAATCAATTTAAGAAAAAAAGAAAAAAAATACTTACTAATGAAATGTGGCAAAATTTCCATGCATGCATCATCAGCAAATATGAAAAAAAAAGTAGTTTAGAATTTTCATTCGAAACCAATATATTATCTTATATCAAATATATATATATATATATATATATATATATATATATATTATACCTCTAACACTATCACGTGTTATAGCGATGTGCAAAAACTCCATAAATTTTGAAGTCTTTAAAAAAAAATCATCAGCTTAACAAACTAAATCTCGATTATAAGATGTGATTGCACAACATCAAATATTTATATGTAAAAAACAAAATTTACGGAAATTTACCTATTCTTTTTTGTGTATCTACTTTTGTTTATATATTTCGTTAAATTTATCAATTCACGGAAAAATCAATATTTAATTAATTTCCCTAAAAATTATTATTATTCGTTCATTCATGAAATGCGTTAAAGCTTCGCGGTGAAATATATATCCAAGTGATTTTAATACCTATTTTTTTTAGAGAGGCAGAGATTTTTAACAAATTATGTACATTGAGCGTATTAGATCACAAACCAATATATTATTTGAGATATTGAAAATAAATAAATAAATAAATAATGATGTATGGCCGTAGACCGATCCCTTGGGAACTACAGTCTGGTAAACTTTGAGAATTACGACTACTCGGAACGATTCACGGAGTCGAAGAACTTCTCCGACATAAAGTCCTAAAGAAACTATAGAGTAAAAATCTTAAATATTGTCACATCATTAAAAAGACCGTGTCTAGTCAAATATTGTTGAAATTTAAATAATGTAACATTTTATTAAATACAGAAATTATGGTATTATTTATGAAACGGTACGTAGAAATAGCGAAAGATAGGAGCCGACAGTGGGAATCCACTGAGCCCAAAGGTTGAAAAAGTCATCTCACCGCTCGTGCGGCCCCCTCTTCTTTACCGTTCTTCTCCTCCATTTCATTTTATTTATTTTTTCTTTATCATATTTCATTTATTATATATTTTTTTTATATATATAAATAGGTATATAATGCATGTTTAAATATTAATGGTTTTGAAATGGCTGAGTTGAATTTAGAAAGTTCATTTGAAAGAAACACTTACCCATCAAAAGTTAATTACATTCAACCTTCTTAATTCTATAAATTTAAATTAGTATATTCAACAAATTTAATTGTCTGAATTCTCTAAACTTACATATATAATCCAATGTAAACCATTTTAATTTTCTTTTAAATAAACTAATTATTATATTTGTTTTGTTAAGTGAAATCAACACATTGAAAAAAGGGTTACCAAAAAACATAGTTGCCATAAAAAATGTGTTGCGGGTAGTATCATGAAGGCATCTTTTTGTGAATGGCTAATTTATTATCTTATAACTAACTAAAAATGATTAAGATTCTATTGGTGATTTTATTTAATGATTTTTTACTGTTTTTTTATAGAATATAATACAATAAAATCTATCTCTTTATAACAAAGTATCCAATGATCATCAATAATTATTTACAATAAAATTCGACATAAATAATACAAACATATCTCTCACAATTGACACACACACACACACACACACATATATATATATATATATATATATATATATATATATATATCTATCTATAAGATTTTTCAAGAAATTCATCCGTATAGGAATATTGAGATTCTTATTGTAGAGAATCGTATTATTCAATAAGAAGAATCCATTTGATTAGTACAATCGTGTTTCTAATGCTTTTAAATTTGTAAACTGTTACATATTTTAGTTTTTTTACCCATATATTATACCCAAAATTAAAAATTGACCATGGTAATTCTTTGTATATTAAAAACTCAGCCTTTTTTTTAACAATATTGCAACTTTATCAATAATTCAACTTATATATATATATATACATATATAGCATTAATATGTCCAATGCAACGCATGGGTTACTTCCAGTATAAATCCAAAATAAATAGAAAATGGATAATTAAATAAATGTGAGACCACAAATGTTAAAAGGTAAAAGTTGGTTGGAGGGAAATAAAAGAAAAGAAAAAATGTGGGGCCCAAATGAAAAGGAGAAACACGTGCATCTCTGACACACGTTGAAACATAGGCCTTTTTGCACTGTCTTACGTCTATTCTTCTCCCATTACTTCTACTACTTTAATATATTTCATAGAAAATTTTAAAAATAAAATACTAAATTCAAAATATTATCTGGTTTCATATAAAAAAGAACTGTTAACTAAATTTCATCATGAATATATTTTTATTTTATATTAAAGTTTAAATTTTATAAACTACAAATAATCATTGTTGTTGTTATTAAGAATTGAAAATCTCCAAAAAGTTGGATTTTGTTTTCCCTGAGTTATACTTTTAAGAAAAAAAATAGATAGTGTATATATAGTATATAGTGTCATTACATTCTTCATTTTCCTATAAGTACATTAAGAAAGTTTCGTGAAGTTTACTGGTATGGATAACATTGCAAAAGTTTTATACTCAATAATATCTATATCTTTTGGTATTATATATATATATATATTTTGTTTAGTTGTATCCAACTATTTTTTAATAAAATAATCTAAAAATCCAATGCGTGTGAGTACAAATTTGTGATTATTTCAATACTCAGTTACCAAATCTTTATAAAATAGAATTTACTAAAGTGATCATTTCGGTTATTAACCGAATAATCGAACTGATTAAGATATAACTGTGTCCGATATCAAAATCGAATGGTTATGATTTCTTTATACCCAAAAAAATCAAAACCGAACCGAATTGAATAAAAAAATAACCAAAAAACTGATAGTTTTTTGAAAAAAATAAATTTTTTATCGAACCGAACCAAGAAATAATTGAAGTGAATCAATCCAAAGTTTATATAAAAACTGAATTATTATATTTTTATATAATCGAATCCGAATATAACCGAACCGAAACGTGAAATAACCGCTCTAGAAATTACTATAAATTAATTACGTTTAGAGGTGAAGTGACGTTTGGAGGAGAAAACAAATAATAAAAATGCAAACGTGGCAGTGTCTCTTTGTAGCTGTCTTTATAGACTTCCCACGTGCGGGCCCACGTGCGGGTTTAGATTCTCCGAGCAGTACTACGAGTCCTTGGGCCCAACCCTCCACTTACATTTTTTTTTCATAACACCTCGTTTTCGTAATTTACATTATATAAATTATTTTTTTTGTACCGTTATACAAACTAAAATATTTTATTGAACGTGTGAGTTTTTATTTTATCCGCAACTAAAAACTGAACAGGTAAAATCAATCTAGAAATAAAAAAAATAGGTTTTCATTATGGCCATATGTAGAAAAAAAAAATTATGGTGTAGCATTTTATTATTATTTTTTGCATTGGAATCACACCAATAATGTCCCTACCTTGGAAAATTTTGATGCTGGTTTGACCACATTCATGCATGGGAGTATGAATCAATCATGTGAACATACTAATTCTAAGTTCAATCATTTTTATGTACAAGCCGTGACAATTAATTCAAGGTCCTTCTTACTTAGTATACCAATACGCATGCATGCCCATGGAGACACACACGCATGCATGCCGATGGAGACACAATATACATAAGCGCAAACACACACGTGTGTATATATATATACATCGCAGTTGTAAAATAGATGAAAATAGGTGTATTATATATATATATGTTTGTATGTATGATATATATTTCTTACTTTATATATAGATATTAGACCAAATGATTTACAATCATATATAAATATCAAATTTTAGTTCTTATTTGTTATTCATACAACGAAACCGAACTGATATTTAAACCAAACCAAACCAATCAATATTCGGTTACAGTTTGATACAATTGTTATCAAACCAAATAAACCATTTCTAAACCGAACTGGAATATTGCAACATCTCTGGGCTCAATGGGTCGAAAGTAATGGGCTTATTGGGCCGAATCAATGAGCTATTTGAGCCTAGGGTCATAAATGGGCCTAAATCATCTTTTGAGTTACCGGAGAGGCGCCTTTGGTTTTGAATCTAGGGAGAAGGGTTTAGGGTTCAAACGACGGTGGAGGGGAATCGCCGGAGGTCGCCGAACGGGATGGAAGTTCCGGTCGTAGGTGGTGGTGGTGGCGATGTCGTCAAATGGATCGAGATTTCTGTGCCTTCTCCTTCTTCATCTTCTTCAATTACTACTGTTTCGAATGGGGACAATGAATGTGTTTTGCTTCCTTTGTCCGAAGATTACGCCTCCAGCTCCGTCATCGGGGAACCTCCGATCTCTTTCGTTTGGAGAATCCATAAGAAGAACCCCAATGTTCTGGAGCTTCTTCAGCTTTCTGCTCAGACAGAGTTCCCAGCTACTGGGTTGCGATTCGTTTTTGTTCATGCTCTCTCTCCTTTTGCTCTCGTATCCGCTGACTCGGTCTGTCTACCGTTTTCTGAATTTTGATTCTACTATCTTTTGTTTTTGTTATTGTCCTCATACGCTAAAAGTGAAGCTACGGAAATTGAATCACAGGGTAGTGACAGTGGTCGTCTCGTCTTCTTTCTTTATGCTGTAACATCGTATGGAGTTGTCTACGTCCTGGAACTCTCCAATGTTTTCGCTTACACGTCATCTTCTGTCTTCCCGCGTGATCAAATGGTTCACTTGGATGTTCGGCCCCACTTAGACCAAGCTCGTGTTACCAGTGTCGCTGCTTCATCTGGCTTCCTTTTTCTTGGGATGTCCGATGGTAGTGTCTCCTGTTTCCGACCCGCCATGTCTCTTCAAAACCCTTCTGGTAGATTTTATCCTCTATATGGGCATCTCCTTTTTGTATTTGTTGCCATTCTCATGTCTTCACCCACTTTCTGCTTAGGTTTCCACCAGGAGCTGCGTGAAGATGCAGGACTTGGTCGTCTATGGGGCTTGGTATCAAGGTTAGTCTTGCAGCATAATTGTTTGAAAAAAACTTTCTTGTCCTGATGTTTTTTATTGCTATGTATGAAGCAAAAATGTTATCATGGACTCATGGTGCTATCTTCTTGTTATGTGACTGTCTCCTCCTCTCTCAGACTATCAAAATTGTGTCTTGTAATTGTAGGGGGAAAACAGTTGGGGCTGTGCAAGATTTATTTATATCAGATGTTCATGGGAGAAAATTTGTATTTGCGCTTCATGTTGACGGAACAATACGTGTCTGGGATCTCTCAACTTATAGTAGGGTTTTGTGTCACAGTATTGCTGCTTCAAAACTTGATGGTAATCTCTGATATCTGTCACACCATCTTCACAATGTTTGCTTCTTTATCATCAATCACTAATTGATTTTCTACGGTTGTCCGTCCCTCTGTTAAAACTTTTTCTGCATCTTTCTCTAGGAGTTGCGTATTTCAGGTTATGGCTGGGCAAAGCTGACTATGATTCTGGCATTATTCCGTTAGCTGTCTTGTATAGAAAGAGAACGGTAAGCTTCTGCAGTGTCTTTGATTTTCGATTGTTGTTCTATCCTTGATACCCTTTGTCCAAATATCCGTAGGATGTCAGCTTGGATATAATCAGTGTGTACCACCTGCACTCCAGCCCTGGGGATAGGATAACCTTGTCTTTAGATCCTGGGTTGCAGAATATTTCATTGGAAGAGGTAGTGTTGAGTTCAGTCATATGGTAATTCATTATTCATTTTAGTTCTAACTGATGTTTTTCTTTTCTGTCGGCTGTAATGAATTTTAGCTCTTTCTAATCTGGCAGGGTGAAGCTCGGGATGTCAAACTTTCATCTAACCAGATCTGGATTCTAAAGAGGAATGAACTGTCATCTTATATGTTACAGAAAACTAGCACCGTGTAAGTTGGAGGAGACTGATTTTCTGCTAATTTGATCTAGACACTTTTTACACCATTGAGCTGGATTAGACTAATTGAATTGATCCAGGTAGTTTGTACCTGCAAACTTTCCGTTATACATCATATCCCAAGGTTTAGAAGGAATTTACTTGTTCTCATTTGCAGTGGTTTTCTGCAGTCAGGCATCCTGATGTTTAAATATGATTTGGTTGGTCAGAGTATTCGTTTTGCTTATATCTTACTCAGGGAGATTATTGTGAAGAAGAATTATGTTTAGATTGTTGTCTCTATGAATTTGAACCAGTGGTTTGGTACTGTGTACGTGAGACATCCTTTTTTATAATTTTTTGAAGTGGTAAGAACACACACTGATACGTTGATGCACGCTATAGCAAAATGAGATAAGATGCTTGGAGCCTCTACCATTTGGGACAATAATGATAAACATAGTAGATGCTTTTTATGCTGTGATTTTTTCTTGTCATAGACTATGACTCATAGTGACTTCTGACGAGATTCAAAAATTTACATGAAGCTCTTCCTAGAATTTGAAGCTCCTAGATTGCTTTGTAAAATTTGCACTAGGTCAAGCTAGAAAGACTGTTGGTTCCCAAACAGGGGAGGGAAATGTGTTGTCTTGTCTAATCCAATCTTTTCGGCTTGTGGTTGTGCTATTGGCTACTTTTTTTGTATAACAAGCTATTATTGTTTTCTATCTTTTTTTCTCTTTGAATGGTGAATAATGTTATGTTTATAATTGCTTCTCTTGACCTATTGTTAGGGAAGCACATTCTTACACATTGCAGGAAGAGTTCATCTCTGACCAGCTATTTCTGGGTTCTAAGTGCTGTTTACATGATCTTCTTTTGACAACAAATTCACTATTTTCATCTGCAAAGGTTCTTATGACAATTCTTTAGCTCCTCCATTGTTTCAATCAAAATTTATTATAAAGAATGATCAATCTGCTCCTCCCTTTATTGTGAATATTCAAAAGCAATATTTTTGTTTCCAACTTTCTATTTATACCTTAGATTACTTTTTGCAGGACCAAATTATGGCATTCATATCACCAATCTTCCTGCGCAGGCTTCTTTGTCCTGGAGTTTTTCATAATGTTGCCTTGCGTTTAACTTTACTGGACTACAATAAGCACTGGACTGATTCTGAGTTTCAATCTTTAAGTGTTGATGAGCTCAGAAGCGAAATCCTTTTGCTAGTTGAGCACGAGGTTCACTTTCTCAGAATTCTAGAATATTTTTCTGAATATTATGGACTATATGGTTTCTAGTGTTACTTTGCGTGAATTTGGAGTCATGAAATAGCTGAAATATACTTCTCCTTTTATCAGGTTACTGCTGAAAGTTCTATATCTGTGTTTCACTGGTGGAATAACTTTTGTATACGATACCTACATCATTGGCGCAACAACAATGAAGCTCAGGCTTTGCTCTTTCAATCAGATGTTATTGGTTTAATCCGGAAAAGTTCTGTGTCACTGTTTTGTGGATTTGAGAACATTGAGCTCAGTATTGGAGGTACGCATGATTCTTATTTTTTGTTTTGGGTGCACAATTTGCTACTACCATTTGTCTTGCTGCTTATTGTAGTCCTTTCTTTTCCAGTTCATTTAAATTGTAATTTTGTCTTTTATGTCATTTTATAGGATTTATGTCTGGAGACAACAACCTAGCAAGCTTGGGCCTTGGCATGTCTGACAGTGAAAATGAGGTTCTTGCGGAGGTACTAGGATGTACCGCTAAGATTAGTAAACGATGGGGTGGAGCCCTGTATGCCATATATTATGAATCATTTACCGGAAAGCCGATTATCTCGTCTGATGAAATTGTTCCTCGCTTAGTGAAAATTCTAGAATCCGGCTATGCTTTGTCAATAGGTCAGCATACTTGGGTGGATCTTGGTGCAGATAAAGGTTGGGAAAAGGAGCTGGAAGCCCATAAAAATCTGAGAATGTTTTCCATTGACATGTTATTATCTCTCTCTGCTCTGTGCCAAAGGGCTGGATCTTGGGAAAAAGTTTTTAACATCACAGAGCGCTATTTACAGTATCTGGTCCCAAAGAAATTTATGCAGAGTGACGATGGTGGAGCATTGTCTGATATCTATAGTTCTATCCTCGTCCAAGCTACTTCTCAGTTTGTGAAAGCTATGTTCGAGTCTGCACTCGACATCCTCCTATTCGTCAACTATCTGCTTAACATCTCTGGGCAGGTTGGGTTTTACTGTTCCTTGTGTCATTGTGGAAATTGTATTGCTTTATGGAAATTACATGCTTTCTCTATTTGCACACTGTTTTTCATTGTTTCCAGTCACTGCTATTACCAAACTTCAATATTTGGAACTTGTTAACTGCTTTTTCTTTGGATTTTCTAAACACATTTGTCATTCTTTCCTTCTGCAGATTAATATGTCACAGGAAGACATATGCAAGCTACGGCTTGAGCTGCTTCCACTGATCCAAGATATTATCTCAGAGTGGCTTATCATTCTTTTCTTTGTCACTACTCCAGCTGAGTCAACTTCAATCGAAGATTTCAGCTCTAAACTCTCATTGCTACAGATTGGTGAGTTGTTGACGTTGGAAAATATCCCCTAGCAGCTCATGTCCCCTAACATCAGCTATGGATTGATATAATTTTTTGTGTTCAATGCAGACAGCAATGTTGACCAAAGATCATGGAATGCAATGATTGGGAAATGTGGTTTCTCATTAGCATTTATTCTTCTTGGTAGCCGGAGTTGCATTCTAGATAACCGTTTTGACTTAACATCTCTTCCAAGTCCGCAAATAATTATTAGCTTGGTGCAAAACTTTGTTAGCTGGATTCGTTATAGCAAAACCGGAGGTCACTCTTATTCACTGCTAAGACGTTCAATCGAGCTTGCTCTTATGTTGATCACAAATGGACAGTCTGACGCTGTTGAGGTTCATATTGTTATATTATTTTACTTTACCAGAATCTTCCAAGTGGAAAACGTTTACCTACTGCCTGTTAGTGGATCTCAAACAAAAATTCCTGTGTTTCTTGTTTTCTCATGTTTCCATTTACCTTCTGCAGTGCATCCTTGCGGTTGTGGAAGCCAATTTACGCGGGGAAAAGTTTTTTGGAACTAATCAATGTACTAGTGAAGATTGGTGTCTTCTGCAACATCTCCGTGGATGTTGCCTCCTTGACCAAGTACGTGGAGCAAGCGGAATATTAAGAGAGCGGAACATTTGTGAAGCCATTCGCTGTTTCTTCAGGTGCTAATTGGTTTGGAGTTTGGTTATTGTTAATTGTGAAATCCTGTCCAAGGTCTGCTGCCTAATTTTATTTGAGCATTTCTCGTTTCACATCTCTACCTTTGTATGGTTCACATGTAGAGCTTCATCAGGTGAAGGAGCATCCAAGGCTTTGCACCGCTTGTCTGCAGAAGCAGGATTTTCTCATTTCAGAACTCGTAAGTTTTCTAAAGAATCTTGTTAACAGGAAAAGTAATATTCGGCCTCTGGTTCTTTCTCTGTTTTCTCCAGTTACTGGAAAAGGAGGAGTTATGCTTTACAAATTCAGTTATTTTCTTCCTTCTCTTTTCCCCTCCTGTATTTGAATCAGGTGCATATGTTCCAAGTGGTGCTATGTCATCTGAAACATGGAAACTTCATTACTATGAGTGGGCTATGCAACTTTTTGAGCAGTACAATATAAGTGAAGGAGCATGTCAGTTTGCTTTTGCTGCCCTTGAGCAAGTTGACGAGGCTCTTAATCTGAGAGAGAGTCATGAGAACGAGTCCCTCATTGAATCAAGCACTGCCACTAGAGGACGACTGTGGGCAAATGTTTTTAAGTTCACCTTAGATCTGAATCTCTTGAATGATGCTTACTGTGCCATAATTTCGAATCCTGATGAGGAGATCAAGCGCATCTGCCTGAGGCGCTTCATAATAGTTCTGTTTGAATGTGGTAGAACAAAGGTTAAGGATGCAACTGCTTCTCTCCTCTAATCCTCTTTAGCTTTCCTTTGGATGCATTTGTCTGTTCTGTAACCCGCGACCAGTGTTACTAGAAATCTTGTAACAGATTTGCTAGTTTCTCATTGCTTTCTTATACCTGTTGTTTACGTGGACTGTGGAGACAGACAGATCTGTTCTGTGAATTCAACTTAATGTACTTAAACAAAGACTTAAATATTTCTATTAATGCTAGAAATTTTAGTTTCTAATCAATTTCGCTCTTGATTTTCAGATTCTCAGTGATGGTCATTTACCTTTCATTGGCTTAGCTGAGAAGATTACACAAGAGCTTGCTTGGAAGGTATTCCCTTGCTGGACCTTTCTCTCCTTGGTGTAGATGGTTTATTTTTCTAGTTTCTGACTGTCACTCTTTCTACTTTTTATAGGCTGAGCGTTCAGATATAATGACTAAACCAAATCCATACAAACTGCTTTATGCTTTTGAAATGCAACGACACAATTGGCGAAAGGCAGCAAGTTACATGTATCAGTTTTCCGCTCGTTTAAGAAGCGAGGCAGCATTTAAGGATCACAAACACTCGTCCCTGCTCTTTCAAGAGAGGCTTAATGGGCTTTCTGCCGCTCTTAATGCATTATGTCTTGTTCATCCTGCCTATTCTTGGATTGATCCACTGCCCGAAGAAGCGTTACATCATAACATCTCTTATCCAGCTAAAAAGTCTAGAATAGCAGAGGAAGATCATTGTAAGTCCTCTTAATCACTGTATTCTACTAGTCTTTTCTGTAGTTTGTACCTTGTTTATCGTTACTGTATGATAATATTCTACCCGTGGGACAACATTCTAGAGAATTTATTCATACATTCTCTATATTTTCCTTCTGTATCTTTTGCCTCTTCTTTATTCCTGTTTCTTTCTTCTGCCAATTTGCATCGTGGATAATGCCATTCTAAACCACTTTTGTTGCAGTGCGGAATGCTGATCAGCCTAAGAGGGAGAAAAATTGCATTGATATGGAGAAACTTCAAAACGAATTTGTTTTGACTTCAGCAGAATATCTGCTTTCACTTAAAAGTATCAGTTTGACCTATTCAGGTAAAATCTTCTCTAGATGTTTCCTTATGTGTCCTTGTCTTGAGTTCTTGATACAGGCTGAATGGATCTGAATGTAGGCAATTGTCAATATGTGTACTCATTCCTTCAGAACTGTTTAAAGGATTCCCTGTTTAAAGTTGCAGAGAAAGGGTATGAGCGATGTGTATGCGTATTGAATTAAATATCGACAGTCTCCTTCTTGCTATGTGTTATTTGCTGTACATTATGGATCTGACTTTGATCTTGCCTCCATGGTGCATTTCTCAGTAAAAATAATGAGTTCCATATGTGTTCTCCCTGAGTTGGTTCCTTTTTGGAAGACGTTATTACTCAAACACGAAGCCTTAATGATTTTCGAAAATTAAAAGTCCATGCTAATTTTTTTTATCTAACCCAGTGCAATGTGTTCTTTCGACTTCGTTCCAGGATTCGAAAAGCCGCCATCAGACTTGATTGACCTTCTTGTCCAGGCAAACCTACATGACATGGCATTTACTGTCGTTTTAAAATTCTGGAGAGGTTCAACATTGAAGAGGTATATTTCCTGCTTGGTATATTCTTTAATTGAAGGGCCGACCTGGCTCAACGATAAAACCATTTATCGTGGGGTCTGAGATCGTGGGTTCGAATCAGCCTCTCTACATAAATGTAGGGGTAAGGTTGCTTGTATATTCCCCTCCGGAATACGAATTGAGTTGGTCCTTTTTATTTTCTTTAATTCATATGCCCATGAAGAATTTTGTAGAATTAATGTTAACTGTTTCTTCTCAGGGAGCTTGAAAAGATATTTGAGAATATGGCAATCAAATGTTGTCCCAGTAAAGCTGGAACATTGTGGATAGCGTGGGTGACTTTGTTCTTAATTGCTTGTTGTTTCATTGACTACCCATAGACCCACTTTTACTGATTATAAAAGTAATATTATACATTCCTTTTTCAGAAATGATGTCAGGAATAATCTTCTGTTTACGTCTTCGGATGAAGAAATAATTCATGGTACGCCTGATAGAATTACTGCTGCTCAGGAATCGAGTTCGAGGCTGGCTGGTGATTGGGAGATTCTTGAGTTTTATCTTGTCAGTATCTTCTGCATCCTTGAGCAACAAAATTCTACTATTCCTCTGGATTTTGGACATTGGTGACAATAGTAGTCTTCTTGAGCATTATAACTTCATGAGCTTTCTCTGTGTGTAGATATTCGTACTACATGCTCGGTGTAGGTTTTCCTTAGCTGCTAAAATCACAATACGACTCTTTCTGTCTTAAATCTATTGAGTGAATCCCAAAAGAATAGTTTTCTATCAGGGATGTAATCATGGTGATTTAGTCGGGAACAATACTCTGTCTTCAACTTTGTCATTTCTGTTTTCATTTTTGGACCACAACACCTAGCAGCACTGTTGTCAATATCCTTGATGATTTAATTAGGATGTTTAAGTATGCCTGAATTTTCTAAATGAGTTCTAGATCCTTCTTATCCTGTTAATCTCAAACCTTGTCTAGGATATAGGTGAAACCTCACCATGGCTGGATCAGGATATCGTTTTGTTATTTGCTACTTCGAGAATCATGGATTAAAGTTGTCTATTGGATTTTCGTAATAACAGAACAGGTACAAAGATGTTCATGCTAGACTACCGGTAACTGTTGCTGCGACCCTTCTTCGAGCAGATCCTTGTATCGAACTGCCTTTTTGGCTGATTCAAATGTTCAAGGTAATACCCTGCTTAAATCTCCATACGATGTTGTCATGCTTCCAGAATAGTAGCTACTGCTTCATGAGACGTCTGACCGCACAAAGAAGATAGTTTTCTGGTTTGTTCTGTTCTGGTTTTATGGTAGTTTTCTTAAACCCTATTTTGTGGGTCTCAACAGGAGGGCCAGAAGGAAAAGGCTTTGGGAATGGCTGGGCAAGAAGCAAGTCCGTCTTCTTTATTTCAATTATATGTTGACAATGGGCGTCTTATGGAAGGCACTAATCTGCTGCTGGAGTACATGGAGTTATTCGCATCAGCGGTGAGTGAAGATCTACATATATACTTGCCATCACTAAGGACCATTTGTTTGTCATAAGCTTCTCGCTATATTTAGAGTATTACAGTACAGATTTGCAGACATGAATACTTTACATAGAATTTGGTTTTATGTCTATTTTATCACAATATAGGTTTGCATCCCGCAAAGGCTATACTAGTTGCTAGTTTTTAATAACGCACAAATAATGTTCAGTTGCACTAGACATGAACATCTAAACGGTGATGTAACACCCTGTGATCAAATCTGCGTCCGTTTGAATGCTTGTGCGATACATATAGCCGCATGTAGGGTACTTGTATACATATAGCCCCTTAGAAGTTGTAGACAGCAGTTTGATTTTGCCACTCCCATGTTCTTGGTATGTGGCTTGTACTTCTGTTTTCTTCTACTGACAGAAACTGTTTCTTTTGGACTGAACTTGAACAGAAACCAGCAGATGTACTGAAGAGGAAAAAGGTGTCTGGGGTGTGGTTTCCTTACACAGCAATAGAGAGACTATGGTGCCAAATAGAGAGGACGATAAGCTCAGGACGGATGGCGGAGCAGTGCCAGAAGCTGAAGGACCAACTCCGTCAAGCATTGCTGAAACACTTACAGCTGGTAACACATCAAACGATGTTTGTATATATATGTACTGAAACAAATGCAGTCGAGTGTCGGTTTTTATGGATTCGGATTCATGTTATTGCTGGTTTTGCAGCTGAAGGTGGACTCAGACGATGCAGTATCTTGTGCAGCTGGTTAAAGCAAAGCATTCGAACCATTCTGTATGACCAAGGCTGACAAAACATGTGTTGTTTATCTACTTATGCGTATGGAAGTTTTGATAAGGTTAGTCATGTAGATATTGCGATGACACACTTGTATGCACACATGCTTTATGAACCTATGGACCATTTATTATTATTATTGTTGTTGTTGTTGTTGTTGTTGTTGTTGTGTCATCATCATTGTTATTGTTAGTGTTGTTACATGAAATAGAATTTGATTGTATGCTGTTTCATTTTTTTTGGGAATGAATGAGATAATAACAAAAATATTGAAATATTTTTCATTTTTATTTTTATTTTTTATAACACAAAATTGTTGTCATGTAGTGTTGATGTAAAAAATTCGGTGTGTTATATTAGCATCATTCATCGTAAACTATTAAACAATTCATGTCATTTAGAAGAAAGTTGTCAATTTATGTATTTTTTAATAAATAAACATTTTATGATTCACGATCGTAAAAATTCGTTGAAAAAAATTTGTAAATTCATGTATTTTTTTCAATAAATAAAAAAATTATGTTAATAAATTAATAAATTGATGTATTTATTTAAAAGAGATTTCTGTTATAAATAGCATAAATTGATGGTGATATTTTTTATACAGAAAATGTATTTCAGATTTTTTAATAAATTAAATATATTTGATAATTAATTAGTCAAATAGATAGCTATTGTACTCACATGTGATGTAAAAGAAAGAAACAAATGGAAAGCAAAAACTCATTTATCCAAATGAAGGCAACCGATTTTAGTAAAAAGGACTTCTGTGCCGATTGTTGTAACTTGTATTGCGCGACCAAGCAGTGTATTTCTGTGAATTTCCCTCACACTCCATCTCTGCGGTCTTCAATGGCGTTGGCGGCTCTGTTTCTCACTAGATTCCCTTTTCTCGTTCTTCACCGGTCGCCCTCGCCATCGCCATCGCCGTTGCCGTCTGTTCACTTCTACTATAGGAGGAGCATTCCAGCCTGTGGGTATGCTCTTGGCAACCGTTATTTTCCGATCCTCTGTTATTCCTCCTCTATCGTCGGTGGAGATTCCGGTGGCCAGGTATCGGATTCTGCGGTTGCCGATTACTTGAAGATCAGTGACGATCAATTGATGAAGCAATGCAAGATGGAGACGTTCAGGGTATCGGGACCTGGAGGACAGCACCGGAACAAGCGTGACTCCGCTGTACGGCTCAAGCATTTGCCCACCGGAATCGTGTCTCAGGCCGTCGAGGACCGATCGCAGCACAAGAACCGCGCGTCTGCTCTCACTCGACTTCGCACTCTCCTCGCCGTGAAAGGTCTCAACCCTATTTCACTCCGATTGCGATTTGAACATGTAAACCCTAGTCCTCGAGTTGCTTCTGATTTCTTTTCCAGTGAGGAACAAGGTGGATCTAGACACGTATTCCCCTCCCCCGGAGCTTCTTCAGATTCTTCCTCCGAAGTCTACCATCAGGCTATCTACTTCTGGTCCCCAAATTGGACCCAACAATCCTAAGTTTGTGCCTGTATGTGTCGTTTGTCATTCTTGCTCTCACTTCTTCTTCGTTCCTCTTCTGTGGTTTTACACATTTATGTATCTCTCTTGTACAGGGAATGCAAGCTTTGATTGATCTTATCTCTGCCAATGGTGGCTCCATCTCCGATTCTGCCAGATTGCTTGGGTACATTGTTCTTGTTCAACCTCTAATTTACCGAATTCACGTGTTTTCTTGTCCACCGGTGCCTTATCTCTGTATTTCAGGTTGTCCACCGGTGCCTTATCTCGTTTGATACTATCCCATGATTCTCTTCGCATGGCAATCAATGACATCAGGGCAGCGAAGGTACTGATGCTCTTTTTGTCCCCCTTTTATCTCAGCCATGGATTGTGTACATGAACCCAAATGCTCGGTCACCATTATTGATGTGGTCAACAAGGATTCTGGGTCGTAGTGTGGTTCCTGATTTTTCAGTGCAAGGGCTTGCCATTTTAAGTCTTTTGGTCTCTTGTTTCACATGGAAACGTTCAGAGATTGTTTGCTCATGCTTGGATGAATCTCCACCTGAGAAAACAAGTCTATGTGTATATGTATACGAAATGCCTGCTTGTCTGCATTCTCCGTCCTCTTGCTGTTTTCTTCTTCAATTGTTTTTTAAGTCTAGTAGGTTTCTCGATATTTATTTATGTGCTCGACGCTCAATTTTTGTTGTTTAGTTTCCTATGTTATCACGATTATTTGGACCTACTTTTCAACATGCAATGTAGATCTGAAATGGTGAACCGTTTTTTTTTCATTCTGACCTTTCAGGGGATGAAACCTCTCAAATAGTTGTGTTGTATGTAATGCATTTGAGGTATGGTGTTCGGGCTTTTTCTCGGTATTCTGTTTCAGCTGTGCAGCCATGATGCCGCATAAAGACGGCCATTTGATGCACCATATCCTGAATACAAGTACAAGGTGATATGCTCCTAATTAGTTTACTCTAAAGTTTTGTCCTTACTCCTTTGTAACATTGGAAAGCCACTCTTTGTATTGAGATGATGTAGTATAGGTTGTTCAATCACAATGTTCTTCTCCTTTTCCACCTTATTCTTTGTTATACCAGTTGGAATAAGATTAATTTAGATTAGGTTTCTTCTCTTTTGTTCCATGTTCTTCCTTGTCTGTTCTCACTTGAATACTATCAGTTTCTTTTGTGGTGTAAAATGAAGCACTTTGTCTTTCATTTGGTGCCTTTGGCCAGTTCAAAAATGTCTAGAAGGGCATATACCCTGCACTGTAAAGCGATTGCAAGTTGGACTTCCAACACCAACTTGCAGTTGCAGATATGGTACATCAGTTACAAGTTTAATGTGTCAGTGCTTTTGAAGATATGAAATGACTGCGTTATAGGCATGTAGAGTTGGCTATCATCATTCAAACCTTCAGGTCAGCTCTTCATTCCCTATCCAAGGTGGCTCACTCATATCATCTAGGGCTTATGCATGTATGCCTTTTGTGATTTCAGTTGTAGCAGTTATACTGACGCTCTTTTAACACGGTTTATGCATAATCTAAGAAAAATGTGTTGCTACCTGCAGGAATCTTCTCATGGATATTGGATATTACGAATAGCAAGAGAGTTTGATGCAGCAGAATCAGATTCTTGTAGAATGAGGTTCTGTTCTTCCCCACACTGAAAAGGAAAGAACTTTTGGGTTGTGGAGTTGACTCTTGAGAAATGTTGTTTATTCATTTATATCCAGAAACCCAAGAGGAGTAGGGAGTACTGTGGTGCACTCTGACTCACTCTGGTTTATTTTAAAGATGAATTTGAAAATGTGCTCTTGAGGAAAGATTTCTCGACTTTTCATGGAGTGAACAGCGAAACAGTCATTTTCCCTTTTGTCTCTGGTATGAATTCTAAGATTCCAACAAATGGATTAATATAAGCTTAGTTTCTTTTTTGTCATTCTTATAGCCAATGAATGATCGGGTTGATACGTTCATGTTGATGCCCATGGTCAGTCTTCTCTCAAGAGAAACAGGTATGCTTTGATACAGCATCTTTGTAAAAGTGACTTTGACTTTTTTTTGCAGGATTTAGAAATATTTGTATGGAACATTCCCCTCTTTACATTGCAACAAAAGATTTGATTCCTCACCACCACCTTTTATTTATTTATTTTTCCTTTTATTAACGAATTTTTCCTCCTTACCCTCAAGTGAACGCCCGCGCGCACACATGTATATAGACTTCACTCTTTAACTGTTGATAGACTTCACCATTCCAACAGTCACTCAGTCTGCGGGTATCAATGGGGCTGGACATACAAAGCAAGCTTCTTCAAGTTCTTGGCCTCGCCAAGGATCATGCATCTATTGGCAAAGCTTTTGTACAAAACTACAATGAGAAAGGCTTTTTTGACATTGAAGTTGCAGTGGTTCGAGCCACAAGCCACGATGATAGTCCCATTGACGACAAAACCATGCACGAGATACTCTTCTTCGTTTCCAACACTCCAGGATCAGTCCCTTTTCTTGCAGAGCGGATTTCTCGCCGTCTAGCCAAGACAAGAGACTGTTCAGTTGCCCTCAAATCTCTGTTGCTCATTCACCGTCTCCTACGTGGAGGAAGTCGTGTTATCGAGCAGCAGTTGCATATTGCTCATGCCTCTGGCCATCTCCAAATGGGTTGCTCCTGGTTCTTGAGGAATCCGGATCAGTCCTTTGTTTTTCTGCAAAACTATGCAGCATATCTCCAAGAAAGAGTTGAATGGATCATCAACCAAGCAGGAAAGCTTGAACCCAACATGACTGGTGGTGGCACAAAGTTCAGACACTACAAAGAAAGGTCCATGGATCTTGTGTTCCACATCTTACCAAAGTGCCAAGAGTTTATTGACAAGGTGCTGAAATGTTCACCACCCAATACATTGCCTGTAGAGAACCTGGTCCAAGTATCAATATGCACCATCCTGAAAGAGAGTTTCCAAGTCTACATGACATATTCCGACGGCATAGCCATGCTGGTTAACATGTTCTTCGATCTATCAAGACCTGCAAGAGCTTTGGCCTGCAAGATGTTGAGAAAAGCTGCTAAACAGAGTCAAGATCTCCGCGAGCTGTATGAAAGGTGTAGAGGATGCGTCGGGGAAAAGAGCTTGGACTACCCATCTGTGCAAGATATCACCATGGATCATATAATAGCACTAGAGCAGTGCACAAACCCTAATCCTGCCAGTTCTTCATTGAGGAGAAGCAACAAAGGAGGAGAACAGGTGAGTAGGGTTTCTCCCAGTAGTCCCTTCTTCTCGCCGATGGAGACCAAAATCAGCACAGTCTGGGTTGTTTTTGAATAAATGGAAGTAGTAAAAGGAAGAGGACAGGTTTCTTTGCCATGTTTAAGGCTTGGATGCTTAAAAGGAGATCGTGATGTCTCTCTGCTTCATTCAGTTCAGGTTTCATCTGTTTCCTTGTCCAAAGTTGGGTCATGTGGAGGATTTTTTTTTTTTGTTTTAATGGTGTGGTGATTCAACATGACATCAAAGTGCATAACTATGCTTCTGTGTACAAAGATCTTACTCTTAAACTTCAATTAAGAATACTCTAGCCATTTGATTGGCTAGACAAGGATGGATACGTGGCAATGGAAACATAACTGAAGCCTAAAGGTATCAGCAACCAGACAGGGGAGGTTGAATTAGTGCAGCCCCGGTTCGCTTCAAATCAGCATGAACCGGTTGGTTTTGATCTCTTCATTTCTTAAATGAGGTGAAACCAATTCGTACATAAAGAATGAGCCGAATCGGTAAAAATCACGAAGGATAATAAAATGATTAGACAAGAAGAAAGTAAGCCAAAGCTAAGCTAGTAGAACATTCTCCATTTCTCTCAAACACTGTAACAGAATATATATATGTATATATGTATATGTATACCCAAAACTTTTAACAGTAGAAGCAAGATGTTTTCAAGAACCTACTTACGTTAAGAAGCTTACAAATACGCCATAGCTTTGCCCGTTGCCTCCACAGGGAACTTTCATTACAAGAGGAGTATCAGAAAGTTTGCAAGAAAAATAACGACGAACAAAACAATGGCCGTTGCCTTGCCTTATCATTACCGCACCCTTCTCTGTCTTGTCTTAGCCTCACTGTGCTTCGGGGACATTCCAACGAATGAAGGGTCTTTGCTCCCTCTTCTTGACACCCCTGCAAGTCTACTCTCTGATCTCTGGCCGGACAGGTTCCCTCATCCATTCAGAGTGTTGGAGCAAATCCCATTGGAACTAGAGAGGGACAATAACATGGCTCTGTCTCCTGCAAGAGAGGATTGGAAAGAAACACCTGAAGGCCACGTGATCTCCCTGGACATCCCCGGGTTGAAGAAGGATGAGATCAAGATCCAGGTGGAAGAGAACCGAGTTCTGCGAGTCAGTGGGGAGAGGAAACGCGAGGAGGAGAAGAAGGGTGATCACTGGCACAGATTGGAGAGGTCGTACGGAAAATTCTGGAGACATTTCAGATTGCCCGGCAATGTGGATTTGGATTCTGTCAAGGCCAAGCTTGAAGATGGCGTCCTCACAATTAACCTGAACAACTGTCCCCTGACAAGGTCAAAAGTCCAAAGGTTGTCAGCATCGAGGGTGAAGAGAAACAACCAGACAAACTCAAATCTTCTGAAACCAAACAAGATTAGCTATCTCCCATATCTTCGCTTTCGTGTACCCATTGGTCAAGAGTCCAGAACTGAGTTTTTTATGTTGTTAAAAAAAAAAAAAAAAAAAAAAAAAGGGGTGGGGTGTAATCTTCAGTGTATGTGATGATGTAATCTATCCACCAAAATCTGTGTAACAACCGTTTTGAGAAGAAAAATAAAATAAACTAAAAGAGTTTCAAAAGAGAACGAACGAAAAAGTTGAAAACTTTATAAGTAGAGAATTTCAGACGCGTCATATTAAGGATTAGTACATAAACATGATATTTATAAACAAATGAACAGATACATGCATATTACAACAATATAGAAGGGTGGAAGCACAAGGGTGAAAGCAGATTCAAGAAAATGATAGGTAAATACTGCATCATTTTAAAATCCACTCATATATATATATATACACACAAAAACTATAGTCAAGTGTTTGAACAGAAAATGATTCCAAGAAACTATGCTTGTTGTCAAATCAACTTGTTAGAAAGGACCCCTCAAAAGTGTAACCTGTTGAGATATCATACCTGCAAACACTGAACAGTTCTGCCAAAATCGATCCAAAGGTGTTCCAAGATGCGAGTTTTCAGCCCCAACACTTCCTCTTCCAGTGCCATTTCTTTGCTGCCGACAGTTCTTGTCCAATTCAATGACCATTAGAGAGCAGAGTGCAAAGCTGTTCCAGTGAATAGGCTGAAGCCTTTTGGTGGAAAGTTACGGTCTTTCAAACGTTTCGAAACAGATTAAACTCTCAAGTATGAAGTATATCTCCTCAGTCTTCGGATGTGATTTGTCAAGAGAATAGAACTGATGAACCCGGTTATCAATCTCGATCCAGCTACAGCCCGGTGTTTTACAAGCATTTTGGTCCTTAATCATCCTTCTAGCTCTGTGTGCCTCCTCCCATTTCCCCAACTCCCCATATAAATTCGCCATCATGGCTACATAACCTCCATTGCTGGGCTGTAAAGCCACCAGATTTTTAACCGCAACTTCAGCAAAATCCAAGCGGCCATATATTTTACAAGCATTGAGCAATGAGCCCCAGACAACCTCGTCAGGTTCCATCCACATCCCAGATATAACTTCAAGGGCTTCATCGAATCTACCAGCCCTGCCAAGAAGATCGATGAGGCAGCCATAGTGCTCAATCCTTGGTTCAATACCGAGTTTGTTTGTCATAAGATCAAAATAAGCACAACCATTTTCTACCAATCCTGCATGTGTACATGCATTGAGAAGGCCGATAAAGGTAATGCCATCTGGCTTTATATCATCGTCACTCAGCTTCATCATTTCCTCAAACACCGCAATTGCTTCTTCGCTACGACCATGGAGAGCAAAACAATTTATCATGGAATTCCAAGCTGTCGAACTTTTCTTGGATGTCATCCCAAAAACAGTGTTTGCTTCGACAAAGTTGCCACATTTTCCATATACATCGACCAAAGCATTTGAAACAAAGAGATCAGGAGAAAGAGAGTGACGGTAAACGAAGGCATGAATTCCTCTGGCCAGTTGGAGCATGCCGGTTTGGGCACAGGCAGAGAGGACACAGACCAAACTCACCGCATTAGGACGGATAAGAGGTTCCTTGATCATCCTTCTGAAGAGGGAGATGGCTTCCGGGAAGAGCCCGTTCTGGGTACAAGCCGCAAGTATCGCGTTCCAGGACGGAATATCACGGTCCGGCATTTCACGGAAAAGGGAGAGAGCATTGGAGATATCTCCGGACCGAGCATACCCAGAAACCATGGCTGTCCACGAGACAACATTTCTGTCAGACATTTCGTCGAACAGCTGTCTAGCAAACGGTATGTGAGAAGTTGAAGAAGCATAAGAGTGAAGCATAGCAGTTCGGACGACGATATAGAGATGAAACCCGGACTTGAGCGAGTGGGTATGCACCAAAGGAGTGGAGAAAGCGGACGAGAGATAAGGAGTACACTTGAAAACGTGTGGGTAGATGAATTGATTCGGACGAGGTGAACTGCGACGAAGCATGAGCCGGAACAAGGAGAAAGCAGAGGAAGCATGGTGAGGAAGAGACGACGAATAAGCGGTGAGCACGGCAGTGTAAAGGTAGATGTTTGGGGAAGAGAAGTGATCGAAGACGAGACGAGCGTATGAGAGACTGCAGAGGCGGAGAGTGCAGAAGCGGATGAGCTTGAAGCACAAGAATGGCGAACGCCCGAGTCCGACGGCGATGATAAAGGACTGAACTTGCTTCAGATGGTTCAAGTGGGTCGACCTTGAGAGCACGGCGGAGACGACCCTGTTCACGAATTGCTCCGCCGTGTCCGCCGGCGATGAGCCGCCGCAGCCGAATCGAAGGAGTTTCATCCGAAGCGATGGACACCACGTGTCCCCATGTGCTCGTCCATTCATGTATGTAACGTGACGTGAGGGGGTGAGAGAGAGAGAATAGCAAGCTTCGTCTTTTTTTCTCCGTTTCTCTCGTTTTCTTTCACTTTCTCTCCGCCTTTCTCTTCTCTCCGCCCAATTGATGTATTAAAGCTTCTCCACCCGATCTACGAACCGTACATTTATTCATAGATACGAAGGTATATAGCCATCAGACATCCTCGGAGTTGATGCAGACATAACTCTCTATCCATCCTTGTGATTGTATTATCCTTTAACGGATCTCGATTTTCTCTTCGGTTTCCGAATCCGGGTTCTGTTTTTTCTTTGCTTTTTTCTGACAACATCGTGCATATACATACACACACAGAGATTGCTTACACGGCTTTCCACAATCTCGAATCAAATGTCTGGAATTTGGAGATGGAAAAATTTCAAGGCCTTGGCTTTTCAAGCTCGTTTAGTTTCGCCGATTTCCACGAATCTTCACAAACTGGAAATTGGCTCGCCTCGCCGCATGCAGAAGCGGTTCAAGTGGGAGCAGGGAGGTGGCGGCGGAGGAGGAGGAGGTGGCGGCGATGATTTTCCGTCGTCGGTCACCCGCCGGAAGATAAGAGCGGAGGCCAATTGCCCTCGCTGTTCCAAACAAATGGATCTTCTGTTCTCCAACCGCCAGTTCCCTTACTCTAATCTCCACCGTCCGGTTGATTCCTCCGCCGGGGCCGGCGACAGCAGCAATTACCAGGCCGTGAATTTCTGCCCCACTTGCAAAACCGCTTACTGTTTCAATCCTCGCGGCGTCTCTCCTCTTCAGGGCACGTTCATCGAGATTGGTCGCGTTCATCAACCCACCAACAATTCCAAATCCTCGAAGAAATCCAGGGAGTCCCAGCTCGGATCGGACAATAGCTCCGGCAGAAATCGACTCAGATCTGCTTTCTGGGACACGCTCAGATCTTACGGAACCGACCCACCAGAGGATTTGCCTTCAGCTCCCGCCAATGGCGTGTCCGTGCGCAACCCTCCATCGAACAACGTGGTCCGAGCCGCCGGAGGCGGCGGCGGCGGAGACGGTGCAAATGTGGATGCTCCTCCGCAACCGGATGCGGCCGAGAGCTCCGGTCGATGGGGCGGAACCAATTTGGGGAAGGACTTCCCAACTCCAAAGAAGATTTGCGAATTCCTTGACAAGTTCGTCATTGGCCAAAGCCGCGCCAAAAAGGTTCTGTTTTTCTTTTCTTTTCATTTCATATCACATTTTCTCACGCGATCCTTTATATCTCGAATGCTTGCTTGTGACCATATTCTTGCCATCGCCCATTGCTTTTGAACCGTGAGATCAGTCATCATTGACAACCTTCCACTGCCATTAATGGAGTACGAAATGTTGGTGATATCTTTCCATTGCAGGTGCTCTCTGTCGCTGTGTACAACCACTACAAGAGAATATATCATGCCTCTGTGAGAAAAGGGTTGGTTTTCTATCATCCATCCTCTCCAATCGTTCTCGTTATTACCTTTCTCTTTAATGGTGCCCCTATGATAAAGCTTTTGTAAGAGACTAACATAGTGGAGACATTGAATTATAGGTCAGGAGCAGAACCTGTTGCTGATGAAGACAACGTGGAATTAGAAAAGAGCAATGTCCTCCTGATGGGACCTACTGGTTCTGGTGTGTATGAGCATGTGTTTCCCAATGTTTTCCGCTCTGTGTTTTTCTGCTGGCTTTGACATTTTCTTCTTTTGCCCGATTCTGGCAATATAGGGAAGACGTTACTCGCTAAAACTTTGGCTAGACTTGTAAATGTTCCATTTGTCATTGCCGATGCCACTACTTTGACACAGGCAAGTCTCCTTTGGTTCATGAGCCTTTGGGAAGTTATTATATGATCCCGTGAATGAAATGAGTGGCAAGGGATGTTATCGGTGTGAACTTTTGTTCGGTGGCATTTACAGGCTGGCTATGTCGGTGAAGATGTGGAATCTATACTATATAAACTACTAACGGTATTACTTCTTCCGAATATCAATTTTACATGACCTTTTAAGTGTTCACCTTTCATCTCTCAGCTTCGCAGCCGAACACTTTTCCTATATCCGTACACTCATATGTTAGTTTTAAACCGTGTCTAGAAGCTGATCATCTTATAGTGCAGTGAACTTCTTGATCTCTTACCCGTAAGAAAATTTATTTGTACTTGCTAATTTGCTTGGCTTCTAGGCTGCTGAGTTCAACGTACAAGCAGCTCAACAAGGCATAGTCTACATTGATGAGGTTGATAAGATAACAAAGAAGGTCAGTAGGCAAGACAAGTAGAACTCTTGAGATCGATTAAGAATAATAAACTATTCAGCATCTGCTTCCTGGCATTCTCTTCCACAGGCTGAGAGCTTAAACATTAGCCGAGATGTTTCTGGAGAAGGCGTCCAACAAGCACTTCTGAAATTACTGGAAGGCACGGTGAGTTTGCTTTTGCGGATGTCGCATTCTGAGTATGCCGTACCTGCATTTGTCTCAATAGTTCACTGGACATGGTGCCTGGTTGTAATGTAACCTATAGAAGTGATTGCTTCGTCTGAAACGAGAAAGAAGTAAGGAAAAGATTATGGATATGACATGTATGTGATGTATCAGACAATTAGCTTACACTCTTCTCCAGAGGAGTTTCGTTACATGTTTCTCTCTTCGCCTGTTGTAGTCTTCATGACTCAGAGGGGAATATTTCTGATATGATGCTTTGCTTTCTACATGATCATAAGGTGTTCTGTTTTTGTTCAGATCGTAAATGTTCCTGAGAAGGGAACAAGGAAGCATCCACGGGGTGATCATATACAGGTCAGCAGTTAGACCGAGCTATTTGCTTCTTTTTCTCATCGGTTTTCATGCATGGTCTTCTGTCAAAGACCTTCATGGTTGGTTCTGAAATGGTTATATCCAAGGATCTTGTCTACTCATCATTTTATTCATGTGTCGGAGTATCCTATAATCTGCAGATAGATACCAAAGATATACTCTTTATTTGCGGGGGAGCATTTATTGACCTCGAGAAGACCATTGTTGAAAGGTAGTAAATCACGGTACACTTTGTAGCAGTATTCCATGGTGAGGTTTTGTCCGAAACTGGTAACAATCTCTAGTGTTTGTCAGACGACATGACTCCTCGATTGGTTTTGGAGCACCTGTCCGGGCCAACATGAGGACAGGGGGACCAATCAGTGCTCTTGTAACATCATCTTTGCTAGAATCGGTAAATACAAAATGATTCTGAAACACGGATGGATCCTGTTTCTAGGTTGAGCTTATTAGTTACATCATTTGCTGGGCCTTTGTTTCTTTATGAAAAACGCTTGGAAAGGTGACATGAATTTGGAATTCTATCTGCATTTCAGATTGAGAGCTCCGATCTGATAGCATACGGCCTAATTCCAGAGTTTGTCGGGCGCTTTCCCATCTTAGTTAGCTTGTCAGCTCTAACTGAGGACCAGCTGATTCGGGTACTTGCCAATGTTTTCCTGTCTCTTCTTCTTCTTCTTCTTCTTCTTCTTCATGTTTTTGCCTTAATTTTGCCAAGAGTGATTCAAGTAGTGAATGGCTAATGTGTGTTTTGGCAATACAGGTGCTTGTAGAACCGAAAAATGCTCTTGGCAAGCAGTACAGGAAACTCTTCAGCATGAACAATGTAAGATCCTGTAGTATCCAGCTTGGACTTTACTTTCCTCTCCATCATGTTTCTATTTGCTTGACGGGTCTCTCAAACCTTCGTGATCTGTTGCAAACTTTCAGGTAAAACTGCATTTCACCGAGAAGGCGCTTGAGCTGATTGCCAAACAGGCAATGGTGAAAAACACAGGTGCGAGGGGTCTTAGAGCTTTACTTGAAAATATTCTCACCGAAGCCATGTACGAGGTACCTTTATCTACACCACCGTAGATGATACTGCTGGGTCTCCTTTTTCTCTTTTTTTTTTTGCTGTCAAGGAAAAATATAACGGCACCTGTGTCTTTCAGATTCCAGATGCAAAGACGGGAAACGAAAGAGCGGATGCCGTTGTTGTGGATGAGGAATCGGTGGGCTTGGAAGCTGCCCGTGGATGCGGAGCTAAAATTTTAAGAGGAGATGGAGCTTTGGAGCGGCACCTCGCCAGAAGCAAGTTGAAAGAGGCTGCAGAATCGCAGGTGAGACAAATAAAAATGAACACAAGGACCGTTTCTTAAATCCATAATAACCACACCATGAATTCGAAAGATCGTCTTTAAGACGTGCCGGGTTTTCGCAGGAAAAGGCTGTGTGTGAGGAAGCAGAAGACGCAGCGAGAGCAATGAGCTTGTAGACTGGAACTGAAGCCAATAAGTTAACAAACAGTGTAGGGATTTGTCTTTTGATTGTTTGTAAAGAACATCATTCATCATGTTTTTCATCTTACAACATTGTACAACAGAAAAAGCATTTAGCTTCAGATTTCCAAAGGTGAAGGAAGAAAAAGGAGAGTGGGGCTTTTTGTTTATACCATCACCCTGTAAACCGACACACTGTAACTTGGGGCACCTACCTGAATAACACGAGTGTTTTACTTTTGTTTCATGTCGAAGAATTGATATATTGTTTAGACTTTTCAGTTTTTTTAACTAGTTACTTTGTTATTATTGATTTTAACAATATTTTTGTTAAATAATTCACAATATTATTATTATTTTACATTAATATTTATTTTATTAAGGCTTTGAATGGTGGGAATTTTTGGAGTTTTTAGAATCCAAAAACCAAAAAAAATATCATTCAAGTTTTTACAAAATTATTTTTTCTAAAAACTTGGAAAACCATTTTAGTGAAAAAATCAATGAAAAATCAAAAGCTATTTTTTTTTTAGTTTTCAAATATTATAAAATCCAAAAGTCAAAAACCAAAAACTAAAAACCAAAATCCAAAAATTAAAACCAAAAACCCAAAATAAAAGTCATCTCCATTCAAAGCCTAAATAGAGAAAAATCCAAAATCAGCTCTGAATCCATCCGAAACCTATTGGGCCGGGTTATGGACCGATCCGAACCAAAAAAATCCGGAGCCGCGGGCCGATCCACCCATTTTACAGATTAACCTCTATATTGTATTCTAAACATTTTGTATTTTTGCAGCAATGTTCTAAAATCTGGTTTTTTACCATTATAATTGAATCCAATTGGAGACAATTTAGATTTGGTTATTATTTGGGTATAATTTTTTATTAGATATAATCGAAGATCAAAATTAAATAAATATTTGATTATAAACTCCCCGAATCTAATTCGCCTAACTCCTACAATTTACAACAATAATACATGATGTAATTAAGTATTTTTTTTTTTTTGCATATCAGCTTGTGGGAAGCCAAGCCACCAGTGGGCCTGAGAAGCCCAGTGGAGAGTTGGTTGAAAGGAGAGAGATAGGATTCGCTTTCCGATGTAATTTGGGGAAGATGATGGCGCGCGTGTTGGCATCTCCGGCGACGGTGACGGCGGTTCGGTCGCCGGAGGAAGATGCAGAGGGAGTTTCGACTTCGAAGCAGAGCCAAAGGCTCTCTCTTTCCAAGCCTTCATGGATCGTCAGAACCCAGGTGGAAAAAAAACCCTAACTTTTCTGTCTTCTTCAGTCAGTGTTACATGAAAATCAGTTTAGCGTTCCTTATCCGCAAAAAAAAAAGATGTGGGTTTTGTGGACAGTCTGGAAGCAGGACAGAGAGGCGGCGTACGGCGGAGATCCGCTGCGTTGTCTGCGGCGGAGCTGGCAAAGTTGATTGTCACAACTGTAACGGTAAAGGTAGTTCCTCTGTCATTGGAATAAGAGTATCATTTTACCCAACAAAATCTGTAATTTTCAGACCCAAAAGGTTCTCAGGATCACAAAACAGATGTTGATAATGATTCTGTTCACTTTTGGACACAAAAAATGCGTTTTCTCTTTATGCGAAACTAAGAAAATGGGATGGAGATTGTAGGGAGGACCAACTGTGTTCATCTGGAAATGCTTCCAAGAGGAGAATGGCCTAGATGGTAAAAGATTCTCTTCTTTGTTCTTGCCTTGGATGATTCTGTTCTGATGAAGGTAAAATGAAAGGAACAGGTGCAAGAGCTGTGGTGGGAGTGGATTAGGCTATTGCTCCCGCTGTCTTGGCACCGGAGAGTTCAGACATCCAATGGGTTTCCGCTTCCTTAACAGACAGGAGGATGATAGACAGTAATCTTGAAACTCCTCTGTTCTGTTCTTGAGACCATGCCATGTTTATGTATTGGGGCAGAAGAGCATGTTATAGGAGTGTAGGAGTTTCGTGATTATTTGTAGAGAACAGATTTCATAAAGTCTGGAGAGGAATGTTCATCTAGTCTCTCTACAAAACCAACCTTCTGAGTTTCAGAGGCGTTTGACAGATTGAAGAAAAAGCTGCATCAAATAACAAGTATTCTTGGCGATTTTCTTGGTGATCTTCTCTCTCGATCCTTCTCTTGTCAAGCCAAAGAAGCTTACATGGAAAATAATCCTCATTTACCGAGGGAGTAACTTGCAGAACTGTCACTAGATTATTCAAAGGAGAAATTTATCTACAGAAAAATGGGAACTGACTGAGATGAGATAACACGAAGCAGAGCCGATGGAAAGCACGAGCAGGATGAAGAGAGAAGAGGAGAATGAATAGAGATGAATGGAAAAAATCGAATCATTTGGCCTTGGAATCCATGAGCTGACGAGCATCTGATGGAGTTGGGAGTGCAGGAATGGCTCCTTTCTGAGTTGTACACACTGCTCCACATGCATTTGAAAAGGCCAAAGCCTCCTTCAACTTTCCCTCATCCTGCACATTCATAAAAAAACTTCAATTGGTATGCCTAAATCTAAACCTGTATATCCATTGAAATTCTTCAGAGAGTGAGGGTACACACCTCAAGTATGGATATATCTTTGGCTAGGGAGAAGAGGAAAGAGCCCACAAAAGAATCACCAGCACCAGTTGTGTCCACTGTCTTCACAGAGTATCCAGGCACTCTTCCTTTGAAACTCTGTTGTCAGAAAAGCAAAAACACTGTTAGAAAACTCCAAGCAGAGTTAACTTCGGTTTGTTGTGCGTAAAGTTTGGGTTTTTTTTTCTTTCCACACCTTTGTGAAGTATCTGCAACCTTTCTCTCCATCAGTGACAACAAGCAGCTTGAGTTTGTCATGTATTAAGGACATGACAACATCCTCATTGTCCGAGTTCCCATTGGTGAGGAAGGCAACCTCGTCATCGCTTACCTTCAATGAATTTTGATCATCTTAATGCTAAATAATGTAGGGGGAAAACAATGGGTATGAAATTATAATAGAATACCTTGATGAAATCGGCCTCGTTCCAGATGCTCTTGATGCCGTCTCTTGCAGCGTCAGGAGAAGGCCAGAGAGGTAACCGGACATTCGGGTCATAAGACAGCAAAACACCGGCTTCCTTTGCAGTTTTCATGGCGGCCATGTGAGCGGATCTGCATGGCTCGGAGATCAAGCTTATGGAGCCGTAATGGAAAATCTTGGCCTGCTTTATCAGTCCCCTGTTGAGCTCAGATTCATCCAGAAGCATATCGGCACTAGGGTTTCTGTAAAACATGAACTCTCTTTCACCATTCTTCTTCAACGTCACAAACGCTAAGGCAGTTCTTGCATTCGGATCAAAGCAAACTCCCTCGCTGTTCACACCGTTCTTCTTCAGTATATCCACCAGCATGTGTCCGAACTCGTCATCACCAAACTGAAACATCACCATGATACATAGGATTATGTCTTTATTCATCTGTTATCTGCTGTTTTCCATAATAAGTCCAGGAATCATTTGTCTTTTGAGTTATGGTGTTCTTTTGCAGATTCATAGGACGGGTCAAGAACCATCTTGACAAAAGATTCAAGAAACTTTGGAAGAAATTAAAGAAGCGGGTTCATGTACCTTGCCGATGAAGGCAGATTGGCCACCCAGTTTGGAGATGGCACAGGCGACATTGGCGGGAGCTCCACCGGGGGCCTTGAGGAAACCGGTGGACTCAGCCAGGGAAACTCCGGCGGTGTCGGGGACGAAATCTATGAGCATTTCCCCGAAGGATACTATCAGTGGAGCCACCATTCTTTCTTTTTTCAGCCTCAATAATGAACTCTTTGTTGCTTCTTCAGCTAAATCAAGATCCAAGGTGAAAGACCTGTGTGTGTATATACGAAGCAATGGAAGTTAACACCAGGACCTATTATTACGTGTAACTGAAGGCTTGCAAAGTGGGATCCGTACCAACAGAATGTGATCCGTACAGGTGACGTGACATGTGTTGGTAAAAAAAAAATTAAAAAATATAATACAACCAATATGGGGCCACTGATATATTTTAATGATCGATTATCAGCCCATCAATATTATGGGCCTCTCCCAAAGCCCAATCATCTTATCCGACGTCGTTTCACTTTCCACTTACAAACTTTTATTTATTAAACGACGTCGTTCTATCTGTATCTGGTTCTTGGCCCCTCTATCTCGCTTCGCTTCCAAAGTCATTGGCAACGAATTTAAATTCCATGATTCAAAATCTCTGCTTCTAACGCTTCTACGCTTTCGATCTATTCGTTAGGCCATTTCTCCACAGTTTCTTCACGAAGCATAATCTTTTCGTAATCTGGAGGACGATCGAGGCGTGCATCAATTCGGGCCCCAACAGCTCAAGTACATGACCGTCCTCAGCGATTCCTCCGCCTGCTTGGCCTTGTCGTCTCTGGTATTGCTGGAGACGGATGCGGCGGACGTAGAGAGCCTCTTGGTCTGAGAAATGGACCTCGTCCTGTTCCGGAGATGCTGCTGAGCCGATCGGAGAACGTAGTTCCACCGGCAAACGCCTAACTGATCCTTCAACACTTCCACGGCTCCGATGCTCGCCGCCACAACCCACGCTTTGCTTGTCGAACTCATCTCTGATTCTTCTTCTTCTGATAGAATCTCTGCTTGTGAGCTTTTTCCTTCAAGAGTAGGGAGAGAATTGTTGTGAATTTGCTGATGAAGAGAAGTGAATCTAAGGAACTTGGTTATATATATAGAGAGAAAGAGAGAGAGGAGAAGAGGGCAAAAGCAGAGGGAAGAGGATAGAATGGCCGCAAAAGCTGGTAACGTGGTTGATAAACCAGACGCAGTGGCTGGTGGTTTTCTCGGACTCTGGGTGCCGATGGAATCCCTGAATTTACCGTTTTGTCCACTTTATGACGAAGGGATGAGGGGGTAATATTGGTATTTTATTCCTCATGCCGTGAAGGCACCCGGTTTCCCGGTTAAGACGGTCGGTTTGGGCCTCGAATTCTGCGGACCGTCAGAACCGACGTTGTTTTTCTTTGTCCTCTCGGAAACGCAAAAGAAGCATGAAAGCGACAAATTGTTTCTAATAAAGAAAGAAGGTTTTGTCTTGAATTATCTAAATAAAAATCTCCTTTATTTATTTATGCATTGGTATAACAATTCTTTCAACTCAAAATTATGTATGGATGAAATTCATATAAAAAAAGATTTATAACAGATCAGACCTTTTTAAACCGGATGTATCGGGCCATTTTGGACATGAAAGGCAGATTGCAGACACGTATGCAGTCCATAGGATACCGCCATTGCCCTAAGCAGCATCACATCCACAAAAAAAATGGGGCAACAACAGATGAGAGGATATATCCGTTATCCAACCAATACGCCACGTCAGCACAGCGAACCAATCAGAAGCCAGCATCAGATTCCGCATTGTCTAAACCCGACCAATCAGAGCCAGCGGAGGGACGTCCTACTTGGCATGTCCACGTCCACTTCTCTCAGCCTTATAGTCTTCCTTCTCCACATTCTCGCTCAATCTAATCTCTTTTCCCCAAACCAAAGGTTACGAGCCGTCGGGGCAGAAGATGGCGTCTTTGGGTTTGTCCGAAATGCTGGGAACGCCCCTCAAGTTTGGTCGGGCCGCAAGAACGTCTCCTCCATCGCCATCGAGCCCTGCAACTTTTAGGACAGTTGCTTTTTTCTCCAGGAAGAAGGCTTCTCCCCCTCCCCCTCCCAAGTCCAAGACCGCTTCTGTCTCTGCTACTAGCGACGAGCTCGCTAAGTGGTACGGTACGGTCTCTCCCTTCTGAAATCTCTCTTTTTGTTCTTTTTCTTTGAGGAGGTCAAGGAAAGATGTGTTGATGAATCTCTGTGGAACCCATCTGCAGGCCCTGACAGGAGGATTTTCTTGCCGGACGGCCTCTTGGACAGATCGGAGATCCCTGAGTACTTGAATGGTGAAGTAGCCGGAGAGTAAGAACCTCTCTCTCTCTCTCTCTGAACTTCTATGGCACAGACGTTGTGGTTGCTTACATTTCTTGGTCAACATGCAGCTATGGTTATGATCCTTTTGGCCTCGGCAAGAAGCCAGAGAACTTTGCCAAGTATGTAGATTCCCTCTCGCTCTCTCTCTCTCTCTCTGGGCTTGTATTGCTAAACGTGGGTCTGTGTTGCAGATACCAAGCCTACGAACTGATCCACGCGAGATGGGCAATGCTGGGAGCAGCCGGCTTCATCATCCCCGAGGCATTGAACAAATATGGCGCCAACTGTGGCCCTGAAGCCGTCTGGTTCAAGGTATGCTTCACACAAAAAAGGAAGCATTTGTTTTTCTCTTAGTGATGCAATGACGATTCTCTAATCCATGACGATGATTCAGACTGGTGCTCTTCTCCTTGACGGAAACACACTGAATTACTTCGGCAAGAACATACCCATCAACCTCATCGTCGCTGTCGTTGCCGAGGTTGTTCTTGTCGGTGGTGCTGAGTACTACAGAATCATCAACGGCTTGGTACTATATGACACAACTGTTGTGTGAATTCTTTTCAAGATTAAAAATGAATCCTGACGTGATGGGAATGTGTAGGATCTTGAGGACAAGCTTCATCCAGGAGGGCCATTCGACCCATTGGGGCTTGCAAAGGACCCAGAACAAGCGGCTCTGCTCAAGGTGAAGGAGATCAAGAATGGCAGATTGGCCATGTTTTCCATGCTTGGCTTCTTCTTACAAGCCTATGTCACCGGAGAAGGTCCTGTGGAGAATCTCGCTAAGCATCTCAGCGACCCCTTTGGAAACAACTTGCTCACTGTCATTGCTGGAACTGCTGAAAGAGCTCCCACCCTCTGATTCCTCTCTCTCTCTCTCTCTCTCTCTCTCTCTGTACTTCAGTATCTCAATTTGCTGTACACCTTGTTGATGAGATTTTCTGTCACATTGTCCAAACTTGAGAATCTCCAGTTTCTTTGAAATTCCAATCACTTCAAGTCTCCCAGGTTAAGCTACAGAGAGCGTGAGAGAACCGAGGAGCATAAATCAGACAGCAGAATACAGAGAAACCAAATTCGTTTCCTGTTAAATCCAAACAGTAATATCGAGTTTAGGAGTTAGGAGACGATAATTCCACTTCGGAAACTGAGAAAACTATGATCAATCTCGTATTCCTTTAAGCAGTTTGCCAAGGCCATGGCTTCAAAGTAAGAACACTGGTACCAATTACTAGACAACAGACCAATGTGATTGCCCCAGCTATCGAATCAAACCATCACCCTATAATCATTCATTCACAGTGTCTCGATTTCGACACGGTCTTGATCAACCCTTTTGCGATCTTCCAAAACCAGATGAGATTCATCACTCCTAAAGCCGGTGGTATCGTGAGCAGGCTGTAAAACCCGAGTGGGAAAACTTGCTTGACCTGAAAGCATACGCTTGAGAGACTTAGATTCTTGTGATTCTATGATCTTCCTTCCTGATTACTCGAGCTCGAATATGACATACCTGATCAAAATGGAGGGACATGTGAATGAAAAAGTAGATGAACAAAAAGACCCTCGCCACCTGAAATTGAGCAGAAAGTTTTTGTTGACATCCTGGGATGTAAAACAAATGCCACAAAAGAAGAGATTCCAAATCAAATCATGTAGCATTTCGAATGTGTTTGACGGTACCAGCCAACCCAGGAACAGGGCAATCCCGTTATACACATAAAGCTTCGAGCTTTTCTGACCAATGGTATCCAAGTACCTGCGTATGCATATCCGACAGTGCAAAGGGCGAAAACAAATTAGAATAACAAGGAATATTAGATGGAAAAAGGAAATTCCCATCAAGAAACCGACAATCGTAGATTCACAAATGGAGTTGTGGCTTCAGAGAGGAGAACCATGAATATGTAGAACTGACTTTGCCCGCTTGTGACCGCAAGGATAATAGCAAGCATGGATAGGCAATGGTGAAACACCTTGAGTTCATTCAACCACAAAAGAAAGTGCCTAAGTTGAAAAATCCTGACCATTGGTCATTTTCGAAGGAAAGCAATATATAACATCAGATTATGCCTTGATACTTACATACTCCACACCACCAAGAACCGGAAAATGCCACAGGATCACCGACAAATCCGTCAGGAAATAACCAATGGAAAACTGCAAAAGGTTGAAATTGAATCATGAATAGATTTTTTCTTTAATTGGTTTTACAAGTATCCAAATAGGTAAGTAACTTGAATTCAACAGATGCAGAAAAGGGAAAAGATATCTCATCCTTGAAGTGAAGGTAGGAACTCTAATCTTGAAAGCAAGTTTTCTAGTGTCTACTTGCAAAACTCACCCCCAATACGGCTTCGGACAAAGTTGAAGTCCGGTTGATGATCAAATCACCAGGAACATTATCATCAAACAGCCCTGAAAATATCAACAGATAGATTGCAGCCACCGAAACAAAAACTGCGTGAAAAGTTGAGAAGCCCCTGAAAAAAACAAGACATTTCAGCTCACAGAAATGAGACCAACTTTTGATTCAATGCAGAGACAGAAGTGACAAATGGTGAAGTTACCTCACCTGTTGTTCCATTCCATTCGCTGTTTGCTTCCGAGTGTTCCATAAGCTTTGAAGAGCAAATGACTTGTCCAACCAGTTAAGTGGTAAACCTTCAAAACAAACATTCAAAGGCTCTTACTTACAAAACCCAGCATCCAGGATGATCCTTTCAACATCTTGCAGAAAACAGACTTGGAATCAAGAACAGTAAAACAGAGCAGAAGATGGAAAGATTCATGGGCAAAAAGATTTAACATTTCGCTTACAACTTTGCAAATGATGATACCCAGACATACAGACGCGACCACAGTGACTTGTTTGGTAGAGGTAAAGCCATCGATGGCAAATGCGAACCCAAGATGGAAACTCGTAGCCATGGAGACTACCCCTCTTCTTCGACGGGATTGTCGGAGCGATAAGAGATTCAGGATAAACAAAAATACACAGACAAGAGAGATGAAAACCAGATCAAAACATACGGTACCAGTTAATCGGAATGACGAAGAGACAAAACCTATAATCTGGTGTTCAAGAAAGAAAACTGAGGAACCTTCCACAAACAAAACTGAGGAAACAAGGTAAACAATCGAAACCCAGAAGAAGAGGCTTGACCCGTTTTCCCCTCTCTCCCTTTCTCTGAGTCAAGCAAATTACTCACCTCCTTGTTGATTTCGTTTCTCTCTCTTTTCGGTTTCTATTGCATTGGAAAGGTCTTGCCTTTTTAAATCCTTTTTTTTTATGATTTGATATATTCTTGAATGCATCAGTTTTCCTTGCAAGAATTGGTTGGTCGAGATGTCAAATAACTTCATTTATTCATTAGAAAAACATTATGTATATACAGCCAAAAAATACATTATCTTCTAAGCAGTTGGCTAGAATTCTTCTCAACATTAAAAAAAAAATCTCGTTTTTTTCTTCTTTTTACCGCTTAGAATTCTTTACAAAGTCAGCAGTCAGTGCAAGAGTAGAAAAAATTTGAAATTTCAATGGAAAAAGACGAAGTGCCTTCTGATTGGTCCATTGGAGGGTTTGCCCTTTGGAAAGTTAATCCTTTCTTAATTGAATCCATGGCTTTTTCTCATCACCGGTGGTTGGCAAATGCATTCTGCGAGTCCCACGTACGTCTGAGAAGAAAAACTATGGCGTCTGTGCCCTAAACCTACTCATCAATTCTAAAGCATTATTCATTGATTGGGACTGATTTGACTGCTGAGATAAAGCGCCATGAAATCATATAAGCTCAAGAAGAAGAAAACTCATGAGAAATACCCAGTGGAAAGGGTCACTCTGTAGTCGTTTTCATAGCTCGGATTTCTTCTTCTTGACGGTCAATAGACAGAGAAGCGATGTTACCGTGATTTCAGGAAGCATATGTGAAATTTGGCATCCTCTTAGGTGTGCACATATGACTGCTCTTGAGTTCTGCGTTTATCATTTGGGTCGATTAGATAAGCAAAGAAGCTGATATTATGACATGTTCTGGTATAGTTTCAGGGCAGTAGGGCTCCAAAAGCATGAGACTTTGTGGAATGTATCTTCAAAGGTTGGAGCTTTTTTTTTTTTTTTTGTCAAAGTCAAAGGTTGGAGCTTTCCACCTCTTTTTCTTCAATCCGAGGAGGGTCGCTCTGGAAAATTTGGAAATCGTGCTGATTGATCACATACGAAAGCTGTAAGAAGAGAGAATGCGGAGAAGATTTCCTAATCGGGCGAACCAATTCCACTTTTTGTGTTCATATTCCCTCACCATCTTCGACACGAAAACCAGCGTTCGCAGTGTTAGGTGGCTTTTGATCTTCTCTCCAAGAGCTTTGATCGTGTAAATATCCAAAGGGTTCTCTCTGTTCGAGCCTCTCTCTCTCTTTCTTCCAGGTTGAAGGAGGCGAAATTTCTGGGATTTTCTCCGACAAAAACCCTACATTTTGTCGGAGTCTCAGAGACAAACCCAGTTTAATGGCTCTGTCTCTCTCCTCTACTCTCTTCTCCGATCCCTTGCTCTCATTCCGTACCAACCAAAGGCCGAATCTTCGTTCTAAAACCCATACGCTCAGGCTGTTTTGCTGTTCAGGGTTCTCCCAAAATCGTCAGTTTTCTTCGGATTCTGAGAAGAGATCTCTGTGTATGGCCACGGGCGAGCTTTTCCTGGGAATCGCATCGAGGCTTATAAGAACAGCCGACAGACGATCTTCTCCGCTGCCGATTGCCGACACGAGTGACAATGGCGAGAGAATTGCGACCGTCATAGAGGATGAGATCGAACCTGAGGTGATATGGGAACAAAGGGTCAAAGACGTAGAGGCCGAGAAGGAGAGGAAGATCATTACAAGCCCCGGATTCAGCTTCTCTGCCGCAGGGCTTTTGTTCCCTTATCATCTCGGTGTTCCCATTTTCTCATCGAAAAGGGTTACATCAAGGTACTTACTCCATTTCTTCATTTCCATCATCTTCCATGTCAGTTTCATTGTTCTTCTGCTGAGAATCGTGTGATCATACCCCATGAAAGCTCTGGCTTGATGGTGAAGAAAGACGTGTTCTTTATGCAGAGACGACTCCTTTGGCAGGATCCTCAGCTGGTGCTATAATTTGTGCAGCGATAGCCTGTGGATTAAGTATGCCAATGGCGTTAGAAGCCACCAAGTCCCTAGCTGATGATTGTCTGAAAAAGGGTACTGCTTTTCGTCTAGGGGTAAATCCGAATCTTCCCTTTCTCAGTTCTCATGCTCTACACCAAGTTAAAGAACCGTTAGAGCTGTAACATCTCTGGTGATTATCCAATCAAGTCTTAGTCATCTTCTTTTGGATATTCCTTCTCGATTACATGGATCATTAAGATCATTACACCACTGCCGGTTTTGATGTCAGTGCATCCTGTCTGAATGATGCTCGATACCACGGTTTCAGGCCCTTCTTACAGGTTATCTTGAAGAGTTACTGCCAGATGATGCTCATATCAGTTGCAACGGGAGAATTCGAGGTGAGAACGATACCGTTCTCTCCTCTTGAACGATCCCTCCTTTGCCATTTTCTCTGCGTTCATGTTTGAGCTTTTCTGATTTTTACCAGTTGGTGTCACCCTGATTTCATGGAGAACAAGAGGTCTACTGGTGGATCAATTCGATTCCAAGAGAGACTTGCCATTGTTACGTCTTCCTTTATTCCAGGGTATGTGTGTATATATAACTTGCTTCAAAATGTTAGGTCTTGGTGGGTTGAAATTTAACTAACGTTGTATGCGCAAATGCTGCAGGTATCTTTCGCCGAGGCCTGCAACGAGGTTTCGTAATCGGATCTGTATAGATGGAGGATTGACGTTTTTCATGCCTCCAACTTCTGCTTCCAAAACTGTATGTTCATGATGAAGATGCTCTCTCAATTCCTCAGTTACTCATACATAACACATACACATCTCGGAAAGCTTCTCTTGCGAACCCTTTCGCATTGCCTTCCCCTATATCATATATTAGTATTTGATTCGGGTTAGGTATCCTAAATTTTCAGATACCTGACACAATTCCGAACCCAAAATATCAGTAGGTTTCTATGTAAGATCTCTAAAATCTAGAGGTAAAGATATCATGTTAGTGTTCATTGTGCTATATGTAGGCCAAATTACCCGAATTCGAATAATCGAATCCGATTTTTGGCTTTCCTCACGCTATGACCAGATCCCATCCCGTGTAGTTCATACAGTTCTCGGGCACCCTGAATTTAGTTTTTTTTTCAGCCCTACCTTACATTATTCAAATCTTAAAATGTTAGATCTCTTCGTTTACGACTTTCTGCGTCACGGTTTGCAGGTATGAGTCTGTGCATTCCCGGGATTCACGATCGGATTGGAAGGAACGGGGATAAGTCTGGACTGCAACCCTGAAAACAGGGCAACGCCTAGTCAAGTAAGCGTGCTCTTGTCGTGTCGTGTCCATGTATTCGGTCTTTTTTCCCCCATTGAATACGTTTTTGCTGCACCTTTTTGTTTTCTTCTTCCTCTCCATGACAGCTTTTCAAATGGGCGCTCGGGCCAGCGGAGGATGAGGTGTTGGATAGTTTGTCCGAGTGGGGATACGCGGACGCGGCTACGTGGGCTGAGAAGAATCCGGTCGATGAATTGGTTCATGGCGACACTTCTGCTTGTCTGAAAAGTGAAAACTACCTCTTGATTCTACTTCACCTAAAAGGCAGCAAGAGTAACTTTGTTTAGCAATCATTTAGTTTTATTTAATACAGAACTAGGGTTTTGTTCAAGGAACTTGTACTTTTAGAATCTCTACATTAGTTGCGGGGTTTGGATAGGTTATCCGAGATTCCGGTGTTCACTGTATCTGAATCGATCTGGTCATTTTAAATTTCGGTTCGGTTATATTTTGGTTTTGATCTATTATATGGTTATTTCAATTTTTTTTTATAATCTGAAAATTTAGTGATTGTTCGATTTAATTACATCTTTCAAAATAGTGGATTTGTTCGATTTAATTACATCTTTCAAAATAGTGGAGAAATCCATAGATGAGAGAATATTCGAATCTAGATTGAGAATGAGTTTTATTTAACCTTTAAACCGTCAATCTTAATGGGTATTTGGTTAATGACCGGATTGGATGTAACTTTATGCTTCAAAAGAACCAAAATATATATATATATATATATAAAGTTTTAACTTTTATTAATCACACACAAACACAATAATCTTTTTACGAAAGACAGCAGCAAAACAACAAACAACGAAAGGACACGACAAAACCACAAACTGACAGTAACAGACACATTGCATCGGAGATGTAAGTAACTAACGATGCAAATCGCATTTGACTTTTGGTCACATCGCTTCTTATTCACCACACACACACAAAAAAAGGCAAAGACTTTGATAAATCAACGGCGGAAGCTCCTGACCTGGCGAGGCGGGTCGGCCTCACTGTCGCTGAGCTTGACGCCGGTGTAGACCGCCGCACCAGCCACCGCACCGAGCGTTGGAGCCACCAGGTATATCCATATCGCCTTGTAGTTCCCGGCTGCAACCGCTGGCCCTAGTGTTCTCACTGGGTTCATCGAACCTCCACTCGAGGGTCTGTTAACCGAACAAAGTATAGCCAGCCGGTTATTTCCGGTTTTCTCTGTGACAAGATTCATACGTACACATTGCCACAATCTCTTACCCAGCGACAAGGATGTTGAGCATGACCGTGGCTCCGACAGCAATGCCTGCTAGTTCTCCAACCTGCTCGAAACCGAATTCAAGTTTAGTTCTAATACAATATGAATCAATCAAAGAAAACCTTATAGTGTTTATGTATAGGAGATCTTGTTTTATTGCTTAGGTTTGTACGAAAATCGAATATCCGAAACCCTGTAATTATCTTTATATGATGAATATACAGAATTTTTCGCTCTATCTCCACCTCATAAACCCAAAAGAGAGTAATAAGAAAGATATGCACGTACCGCACGAGTATCGGTGGCAACAGCAGTGACGACAAAGAGGAGATTGAAAGTGATGAGGAACTCGAGAGCAAAGGCCTGTCCGATGCCGACGGAAGGGACAGTAACCCCTCCGGACATAAAAGGGTGGAACACGCCCTTCAGGGCGAAGGAAGCGCAAATGGAGGCCGAGACCTGAGCCGCGATGTAGGCCGGGACGTGGGCCCAGGGGAAGTGGCGAAGAGCCGCGAAGGCGATGGTGAGAGACGGGTTCAGGTGAGCTCCGGAGATGTGTCCGGTCGAGAGAATTATGATCATGACGGCCAGCCCTGCGCATGCCGCATTGCCTATGAGAGTTTCCGCGCCATTGTACTTCTGGTTCACGATCGGTCCGGCTGTTGCAGCGAATATCAGGATGAATGTTCCCACGAACTCAGCTCCGAGCTGGTTTGATTACAAACACACCCGTTCGAATCAGTCTCGGTGTGTGTGTGTGTGCGTATGTATATATTGATGAAGGGTTTCAGGATTCAAGCATAAAACCGGACGGTTTCTTGTTCAGGAAGTAAGTGAATCGCGAGGGATTCCAGAGGAGAATATATCATGAAATCTGACGTTGTCTAATCTGCCTAGTGTGTTCAACATAAAACAGACAACTAGGAATGATTTAATGGTCAATTCAAGACTCTAAACCATCGACTAATATAGCAAGATAGGCATGTCGCGTAAATTTCATGTACAAGCACGCCCCGAAATCGTCTTTAAAAGAAAGGGAAGATAATATGTATATATATATCAGTCAACGGTATGAGTTGTCATGCTTTCCTCGTGAATAAGCATTGAAATGAACAACAATACCTATATATATATATATATAACAATGGTGGTTATTATATTATTGCTATTATTGGTGGCGAGGACAAAGGGACAGGAGGAAGGGGTGATTGCGTTAACATGACAGGGGAGGCTGTGTTTACGTCCTTGATTGAAGAGAGGATATCATCATGCGTGTACACCGATTTAAGACACCTACTACCCTTATCGTGCTTTCGTCATTTCAACTCAATTAAAAAAAACTATATTTTATATTTTTTACGTGGAAATATATTCGCGTAACCATTTAAGAAGAAAGAACTTGTCGTAAGCTTTTAATGTAAAATACCTTTTAATGGCATGGCTCTTAAAGAAAGTAGATGAATATCTCGGTTTCCGTTTTACATTTTTTATTTTAAAAGTTGTATATTTTATTCAGTTGTTTGTATTATACTTCCGTTTTTCTATTTTATTTGAATTAAATTTTAATTAAAAGCTATCTATTTTACCAAATTTGTTTCTTATTTTTTATATAGTTTAATTTAAAATGTTAAATCTAACTATAAAAATATTTTGGATTCAGATATAAAATATACGCTCATTTTACCAAACTGTAGTAGGTTTTTAGCGTTACTTTTCTATTATGAAACAAAAAGAGGAAAAATGGAATCTATATGGTCGGTCGGTGTTCATTCAAGTCCAGTCGGAGTGGGCCTACGATTTATTCTCTCATATCATTATCTTATAATAATTTCTCCGTCACTTTTTTTATTTATTTATTTAAATATTTCACTGGCGACTTTAAGTTCTCCGCCATGTATATAATATGACGTACAAAACTGCTTCAGCCATCAGCGGCGTTATACATGCATTATATAGAAATGGGTGCATAGAAGGTCATCGAAATCAGCATTACGATGCATACTTTATATATATATATATATATATTTATAATTTAGATATATTAGATATTTAATAGAATGGGTTCTATATATATATTATTAGTGAAAAACACGAATGATTATTCCAAAATATTTGTCAAAATCCTTAAGAATGTTACCAATCTTAAAAAAGAATCCTATGTAGGGTTTTGATTTTACCTTGCGGGAGAGGGAGACGTCGGGGGAGGGGAAGTCGGTGAAGCACGTGTGGGGCTGACCCCACGTGGGAACAGTGACGGGCAAGCATTTGCACCTCGGCATCGACTTCCGGTCGTACGACAAAGAGTCCACTCTCATCGCCGATATCAACGGCCCTCCCGGAGTCCCCGGCGTCCCCGGTGTCGCCGGCGCTGAATATCCGGCTGTAGCCGCCGCCTCTGCATCCGGAGGAGCCATCTCTCTCTCTCTCTTGTTTTTTTTTTTTTGGTTTTTTCAAGGATTGAGAAAAGGAAAACGATACTGAAATTCTACTTGTTTTTAGGGTTTTTTAAAGGGTTGGGGACGAAATTACATGATTTGAAGGTTTTTTATAGAGTTGGGATTACACTGTTGCCTTAGACTTCGCCAGGACCTGGACCTTGAAAACGATACACTAATAAATGGAACTCATCGGCAATTCGATCACTATTTTTTTTTTTTTTTTTTTTGTGGATGAGAAATGGAGAGAGAGAGATGGACTAAATTACATGCTTGCTAGGGTTTTTATAAAGCTGGAGCTACGTGAGAAGAAGAAGAAGAAGGAGGGAGAAGAGATCCAGATCTCACAGGCTGATGATGATCAAAAGCAAAGCAAAAGACAGAACATACGAGAAGAAAAGAACATTAATGAACTTGGTTTCTAGAGAGAGAGAGAGAGATGGTGGAGGGTTTTGTTTTGGGTGGAGATGGAAGCTTTGGGTCCAGAAACTTATATATATACAGAAGGAGATGCAGTGAATCCACAAAACACAATTACGAGAGAGAGAGAGAGAAAAGTCAACGGAACCATCTCCCATCATATCTTTAAGCATCTTTTACTGACTTCTTCATAAGTTCTTGCTACCGTCACAGCTCTT